ACTTAGTTTGCCCATGCTACGGGCGCTATGGCCCCAAATCAGTAAATCAGTAAATCAGTAAATCAGTAAATTAGGCAGTACCCATATTGAGTAGGTATGGGTCATATCCATACCCATACAGTGTTAATAATTTTAAAGATATTATATTACCTTTGTCTTTACCAATGTAATTAACATAGCCTCAGGCCGGTGGAAGGGGGGGGCAATTGTGGCCCAACCGAAATATTTTTTGAGAACAATAATGATAGCGTAAGTGACAGGTTATGTATATTCTAGACATTTTAGTCCTACAAAAGATAGAGAAAAAAATGTTTCTGGCTACGGCATTGGTCTTCACATGACTGATTGATGATTTCCAATTTTGGATACCAAAATGTATAAACGGAATAAAAATTGAATTTAAAAAAAAACCGGTAAGTGGATGTCGCTCTGCCGTACAGTAGGTTACAAGTGGGCCAATGTATAATGGATGTAATGAACTTGAATTCAATGATATAACAACCATTGTATAAGAAAAACGATTCTTAGCGGCGACGGTTTGTCAGTCCGGATATTTTGTACTGTTACTATTCATTATAACCTGTAAGTTGAATTAATATTATAATATTATAATATTTTATTCGTTTCTGTGGTGATTAACAAAGCGTTAGGAATTAAAATTCCGTTTTTAGCGGTTTTTCGTAATTTGTTGGTGGTTTTTCCAGTGGCATTAAATAATTATTGAGAAAATTGAAAAATGACCTCACTAAAGGATCATCTTGATCCAATTTTTTAAAATATAAGATACATACTATATGTTGAAATCGAAGCATTCCTTCTGGTAGAAATTTTGTATACAGGATAAAAAAAAAAAATAATAAACACCATTGTTAAACTACTGGCTTCCTCGCTCCGCTCATAATCTAAAAGGTAGCTAGGTATTAATTTAGAAGTGCTGTGAGTTCAGGATGCTGTTTCAAAAAATGGTTGGTTGATTGAAATAACCATCAATTCTACACTTTATTTAACTAGTAATTCATACATATTAATAAATGATACTTTTGGAAAGGTTATGTTTATAAGTAATGTAAAAAAAAGTATACAATTAAAATATATACTGTTTACAGCATGGTCCATCTTATGAGTTTTTTTTTGTTTATGTGATCATAAACATCTGGAAAAGTAATATAAGTACTAATTTATTTGATTATAATTTCTCTTATCTGTATGAAACGCAGCTTTCTTATTTTTCAATTTTTGACCTGAGTAAAAAAAAAAGGTTCAAATTAACAATTCTAATATTATAAAAAATAAATGAATAATTTACAACCTTAGAACCTTTTTTATATATATTGTTAATTATTTGTCCTTGTGTTCCTAATCTAAAAAAAAAAAAATATTCATTACATAAACAAATTATTATAAATTATAATATAAAAGTTGTTTACAATTTAACATTCATAAACTGGTTTGGATATTTTTCAAACAGGGGAACCCACCTACATTAAAGAGCTTAATGTTTCATACCAAATATATTTAATTTGACATTATGTATAAATTAAAACATTTGAGATAACTAACCAATGTTGATTAACATTCTAAAAAAGTTAAATTTCATTGATTTGTAAAGGTGCTCTAAGATTTCTATTTAATTTCACTCCACTCAGAAAAAGTTTTTGAATGACTTTAAGTTTGTAATTTTTATACTTACATTGGTAAATATTCTTTGTTGTTTTCTGAACCAATCATTGTCTTTTTTCTAGAAGAAGCTAAATTTTTTAAATATTATTATATGATTTATAATTTTATGTTTAAACATTAAACACTGACCCTTGTTAGTTTTATGAATAATTTTTTTGTTTTTATTAAAATCTGAAAGCAATACAAAACACTCCTTTAATTGACTATGTCTCTTCTCTGTATGAATCACAGCATTATCATTTTCCAAATTGTTTATTTTTTGGACCTAAGTCAAAAAAAGTTCAAAATTTTTTTTTTTGTTTTGGTTTTATAGAAAATAAAGAAAAGAGTTACAACCTTAGACTTATTATTTATTTTAATCGTTTTTCCTCGAGTTTTGAATCTAAAAAAATGTATTAATACATAAATAAATTATTATAAATTAAGTCTATACAACATGTTTATTATAGTCATTCAATTTTTAAAATATAATAAGTGACAAAGTTAATCGAGCGAGTACAATAATTTATTGTACAGATAAATTATTTGACATTATGTATACATTTAAACATTTAAGAATGTTGGAGACTATGGCCAAGGATGGCTTAATAATTAAAATAAAATAACACAACGACATTTGAAAAAATGTTGACGGTTTTATTTTTCATGCATCATACAACCATCGTCTGACTCGACTAACGACTGTAAGTAGACTAATAACCACAGCTCGTAAGTTCATGCATTTTCCAATCAATCATGCTAAGGCGTAATTAATGCTATATGATAAAAAAATCCATTAAATGGTACCATGGTTAAGTATGCAAAGTTTTAATTTGCATATTTTATGAGTTTTCTATTTTATTGGGCATATCAAGAGAATTTTAGCCAAAACTTATTGGAAAATGGGCATATTTCAATGCATATTTAGCCAGTTTTTATTGCATAAGTGCATGCCTGTTTAGGCTTCTGTTAAGGAATGCACTTATACGCCCTTAAAATATAACTACTAAAAAATAAAAAAATATAAAAATTGCCTACATTGAATAATAATAATTGACCGCACGGCACTCAAAAGCACTTATTATATAAATATAACCAGATGCGGCATATGGTCAGTCGGATCGATAAGAACGACCATCTGTAAAACCAAACCATAACAAAATAATATAAAATAAATCATACAAGAAAACTACCTATTTTTACTAGCATTCTACAAAGGTAAATTTCAGTACTATGAAATTGTGTCCTAAAATTTCAAATTCACATTACCTCTAGAATAAACGAATTATGACAAAAATAAGTAATTAAATAATAATAATTCATAGAAAAATGTGCTAAATTATAGCATAAAAATTTAAATATTTGATAAAATGTAAATGTACCTATCATTTTTGATTTGATTTCTAAAAATGTTTATGTCCAATGTGGCAGTGTTAGGCAATTTAATTTTAAAAATTAATTAAATTAGTTTAGTAACCACTTAGTTAGAAATTAAAAAATAATAATAATAAACAAATGAAGAATATTTTTGTAAATTCTTAACAATTGTTGTTCAAGAAAAGATTTTTGTAATTTTTATACTTACATTGATGAATTATTTTTATCATTCACTGAACTGTTCTTTGTATCATTGCCAATGGAACCTTAATATAAAAATGTTATCATAACATAAAAATTAAAATATTTAGAATTTCAGTAGAAATACTAACCCATGAGAGATTTATGATTTTTTATGAGCTCATTACAATCTGAAAGCAATACAAAGCATTCATTCATTTGACTATATTGTCTCTTCTTTGTATGAGGCACAGCTTTAGCGTTTATCAAATTATTTATATTTTGAACCTAAACAAGAAAGAAAAATGTTTTAAAACTTTTCAAATATTTTATAAAAACTAAAGAAGAGTTTTAACCTTAGAATCTTCTTTCTTTTTTTTTTTAAGGTTTTGTTCTTTGGTTTTTAACCTGCAGAAAAAAAGGTTTTAATACAAGGTAGGTACATAAATTATTATACCTACATATTATATTACAGTATACTATAGCTTTGTCTAAATTCAATAACATTTATATGTTCATTACATTTTCAAAATCTTATTAGCACTATTTTTGTTATACTAGTATGAACATTTAAAAAATATGATGAATAACAGAGGTAGAAAGAATATTTCATAGAAAAATGTGCTAACTTATACCATCATGTATAAATTTAAATATTTAATAAAAAGTACCTTACATTTTTGATTTAAATTTCTAAAAAACGTTAATGTCCGATGTGGCAGTGTTGGGCAATTTAATTTAAAAAAATAATTTAGTTAGTTTAGTAACAACTTTACTTTGACATTAAAAAAAACCAATAAACAAATGAGGAATATTTTTCTAATTTCTTAACAATTGTCATTCAAGAAACAACATAAATAGAAATAATAAATAAATATAATTTAAAAAAGTCATCTAAAAAAGTTAATACTTAGTAAATAATAATGAAAAAAGTAAAAAAAAAAATAATATTCCAGTAATTTTAATGTGTTCTAAGATTTCTAAGTCACATTGTGTCTATACTCTATTCAGAATAAGAACAGACCAGGCAGCAGACAAAAACACGTCAGTATTTGCGCATCCTACCCCACTACAGCCGTCGAATAATTAAAGTATCTGAAACCAGGTAGTCTGGCAGCGCCAAGCTCAGATACAATGCGAGAATGTGATCTGTTCTTATTCTGAACAGAGTATAAAATAAAATTATTATTATTTATTTAGAAATTAACACCATTCGCCATGTTTTAATAGACACATTGATAAAATAATACTAATAAATCTTTTCTAAATATCGGTTTCATTACACCTACTTGTACAAATTTTAATAATTTGCTTTAAAAATAAATATTTTGCATTTGTCAGATACTTAGATCCCAATTACAATATGCATTCCTTATTTGGTGTTCAAATAACATAGGTGTAACTCAAATTCCTGAAGCTGTTCAGAATCGTTTTCTTTTAAAATTTTAATTTGAACGTAAACGACATTCAGATAATAATGAAGTATTATCATATTTCAATATGCAATTGTTAAATATAAGGAGTAAGTAATGTTCATTATTCATTTTTGTTGAAATTATTAAATGAGTCTAGAGGTTGCCTTATTAATTGGAACAGTTAAATGTTTGAATTTTTTATTGGGGATGGTGTCCGACTGTCGCGGAATGCAAACTGGTCACCGAGGGATACCGATATCATTCTCAATAGAATATAGATTGTAAATATTGCTTCAAGTAAGATAATTAAAAAAAAAAACGTTACAAAAAAAAATAGTAATTAAACAAAGAACTATGTAATTTGTAAACTTACATTGATGAATAATCTTTTTCATTATCTGCACTATTCTTTGCATTATTGCTAGTAGGAGCTAAATATAAAAATTTTATCATAACATGAAAATTTTAATATAGCATTTAGAATTTTCAGTAAAAATACTAACCCTTGTGAGATTTATGATTTTTTTTGTGCTCATTAAAATCTGAAAGCAATACAAAGCATTCTTTCATTTGACTATATTTTCTCTTCTTTGTATGAGCCACAGCATTATCATTTATAAAATTATTTATTTTTTGGACCTAAGTAAGAAAGAAAAATGTTAAAAATATTCTAATATTTTATAAGAACAAAATAAAATAGTTACAACCTTTGAATCTATTTTATTTTTACTTTTTATATTTTTTCCTTGTGTTTTTAATCTAAAAAATATATAATAATACATAAATACATTATTATATTATATTGTATGGATAACTTATGTTAGGTTAGGTTAAATAACGTCTATAATATAGTACCATATTATGGTTCTTCAATTTTTAAAATCTCAGTAGAACAATTTTGCTCAAATAGTTTAAACATTTTTAGAATATAATGAGAGACAAAGGTAAAGAATATTGAATAGAAAAGTTAATTAGCTTAGCATTTTTAAAAGAGTGAATTTCAATTATTTGTGTAGGTGTTCTAAAATTAATATTTAACATGTCACCGCTAAAGGTGCTACTATTGGCTTTTGAGCGGCTTCCTCCCTCATGTATTCATGTAATTTAAAAAGGTTTTTTTCTTGTATGCAAATCAAATTGATTTATTGTGCTTTTGTCATTGTAGATTGTAAATATTGCTTAAAGTTGGATAGTAAAAAAAAACATAACAACAAAAATAATAGTAATTAAATAAATAGATTTGTAATTTGTAAACTTACATTGATGAATAATCTTTGTCATTCTCAGAACTATTCTTTGTATTATTGCTAGTAGAAGCTAAGTCCAAAAATGTTATCATAACATTAAAATTTTAATATAACATTTAAAATTTAGAATTCTCAGTAGAAATACTAACCCATGCTAGATTTATGATTTTGTATGTGCTCATTACAATCTGAAAGCAATACAAAGCATTCATTCATTTGACTATATTGTATCTTCTTTGAATGAGTCACAGCTTTAGCATTTATCAAATTATTTATATTTTGAACCTAAACAAGAAAGAAAAATGTTTTAAAACTATTCAAATATTTTATAAAAACTAAAGAAGAGTTATAACCTTAGAATCTTCTTTCTTTTTTTTTTTAATGTTTGGTTCTTTGGTTTTTAACCTGCAGAAAAAAAGGTTTTAATACAAGGTAGATACATAAATTATTATGCATATATTATATTATAAAGTTTTGTCTAAATACAATAACATCTATATGTTCTTTAAATTTTCAAAATACCAATAGTACTATTTTTGGTATACCAGTATGAATATTAAAAAAACATGATAAGTAACAGAGGTAGAGAGAATATTTCATTGAAAAATGTGCTAAATTATAGCATTAAAATTTAAATATTTGATAAAATGTAAATGTAAATATCACTTTTGATTAGATTTCTAAAAATGTTTATGTCCAATGTGGCAATGTTAGGCAATTTAATTTTAAAAATTAATTAAATTAGTTTAGTAACCACTTAGTTAAAAATTAAAAAATAATAATAAACAAATGAAGAATATTTTTGTAATTTCTTAACAATTGTTGTTCAAGAAAAGATTTTTGTAATTTTTATACTTACATTGATGAATTATTTTTATCATTCAATGAACTGTTCTTTGTATCATTTCCAATGGAACCTTAATATAAAAATGTTATCATAACATAACAATTAAAATATTTAGAATTTCAGTAGAAATACTAACTTATGCGAGATTTATGATTTTTTATGAGCTCATTACAATCTGGAAGCAATACAAAGCATTCATTCATTTGACTATATTGTCTCTTCTTTGTATGAGGCACAGCTTTAGCGTTTATCAAATTATTTATATTTTGAACCTAAACAAGAAAGAAAAATGTTTTAAAACTTTTCAAATATTTTATAAAAACTAAAGAAGAGTTTTAACCTTAGAATCTTCTTTCTTTTTTTTTTTAAGGTTTTGTTCTTTGGTTTTTAACCTACAGAAAAAAAGGTTTTAATACAAGGTAGGTACATAAATTATTATACCTACATATTATATTACAGTATACTAGCTTTGTCTAAATACAATTACATTTATTTGTTACATTTTCAAAATTTCACTATACTCTTTTCAGAATAAGAAGGAACCAGGCGGCCACGGACAAAACCGGTTTTGTTACGTAAATCTGGTGTGTTCTTATTCTGAAAAGAGTATAGTACTATTTTTGTTATACTAGTATGAATATTTAAAAAATATGATAAATAACAGAAGGAGAAAGAATATTTCATAGAAAAATGTGTTAACATGTATCATCATGTATAAATTTTAATATTTGATAAAATGTACATATCATTTTTGATTTGATTTCTAAAAATGTTAATGTCTGGTGTGACCTTGTTGGGCAATTTAACTAAAAAATTAATTAAGTTAATCTTTATTCTTAACAATTATTGCTGAAGAAACAATTTTTGTAATTTGTATACTTACATTGATAAATAACCATTGTCATTCTTTAAACTTTTCTCTGTTATATTGCTAGTAGAAGCTAAATATAACAATGTTATCATAACATAAAAATTGTGATATAGTATTTAGAATGTTCAGTAAAAATACTAACCCTTGTGAGATTTATGATTTTTTTTGTGCTCATAACAATCTGAAAGCAGTACAAAACATTCATCTACTTGACTATAATGTCTCTTATCTGGGAGAACCGCAGCATTAGAATTTTTCAAATTATTTATGTTATGGACCTATTTGAGTAATAAAAAATTTAAAAAAATTATTTCATATTTCATAGAAATTAAAGGAAAAAGTTACAACCTTAGATAATTTTTTCTTTTTTTTTTTAATCTGTGTTCCTTGTGTTTTTAATCTACAAAAAAAAAATGTTATACATTATACAAGTTGTACATATATTCTTTATTCTTTGACATACAAAATAGAACACTTCTGTGGTAAAACAATTTTAAAAGTTCTTAATAAAACAATTTTTGATCAACTGGTTTGAATTTTTTTAAATATAATAAGTTAGTAGTGTTTTCATAGAAAAGATAATCAATTTTATTTTTTGTATGAATTAAATATTTGAGAATATTAACCAATTTTGATTAGCATTCTAAAAAGGGTAAATTTCAGTAATTTGTATAGATATACAGGTGCTCTAAGATTGTTATTTAATAACAGTAGTTTAGATTCATTATAAAGATTTATATTAATATACAAGTATAAACAAAACTTTAGTTAACTATTATAAATTGAACATGATATTGATATGCTATTAACTATATTCTATTCCACGAGAGAATAATCAGTCTGCTGACCGATTCTCGTCAGTGCTGCTCATTCTTCACCAACTTCCCTGTGTTAACGTGATCACGTGGTTCTCGATGCACCAATTGAGTTATTCGTGATGCACGATAAGTGATTATTCTCTCGTGGAATAGATTATAGATCAAAATCTGAGGGAAAAAACATATACAATGTTTAAATTAAAACACCGATAAAAAAGAGAAGCTGAGATAATATTCTTATCTTAAAGTTGTATAATAGGTCAATTCACTTTAATATATTAAAGCTAACAACATAAAGTTGGTCCTGGTGAACAAAAATTTGGGTCATAGGGAGAAAACAAAAAAACAATAATGCACTGAAATCGTAATAATATTCATCAGTCGTGGTTAATCCTTTGATACTTAGTAGATTAAATACTTTTGCACTGGCGCAAATAGGGAGGTTATTATTTTTAAATTTAGATTTTTTGCACCTGTGGACTTAGGGGTATAAAATAAAAAATCAAGGATTAAATAATTTGACACTATTTTATCTAGAGCAAAATATTAAATTAAATGCATCGACAATAATAAGAAGGGTATGTTAACGCAAAATCATTATAAAATATTATGTTATGAATATTTATTTGATATCAGTTTATTTTAAAGGCTATAAAATATATTCTAAAAATATATTATATTAACAATAAACATATACAAATTATTTGTAATTATTAATATAAGAAATTTTCAGATTAAAATGATTAATCAAGCAGAACACTACATTTCTATGTTAACTGTGAAACTAAAATTTAATGTTAAAATTGAATTAATACATACAATTTAAGAATCATACATAACCCCTTTGACGAGTGAATTATTATTTTACCATTATCACCCACAGAGTGAATTATTATGAGAGTAGAGGCAACTTCTTATACATACGGAAAATAAGAATTGTAATAAATATATACATTTATGTTCCAATCTAGTTAATGTTTTTAGAAAAGTAATTACAGATAAATTTTATAAATACCATAACCATAACTCAAAGCCTTGACGTAAATATACGTCATTACTCTACAGGACATACTTACTAAATTAAGTAAATACTCGTCAAAGGGTTAAATCATACATTCATTAAATAAGAACATAAACTTAATTTAACATTCATAGATACTTACAATTTTTTATCATCTTCTGGCGTGTTTACAATAAAACTTGAAGCTGATATTTTTTCATACATATCACATGGTTTCTTCTTTGGTGAAATTTTAGCTAACTGTTTTGATGTCTGAAATGTATAATTTATAAGATAATTAGACACCCTTTAATACATTTAAAATTGCTAGTAGATTCTAAACTCATTCCATTTTAATTCACAGACTGCTACCAGTGTTTAGGTATTAGTTATATTAATATATATTTTTTTTATTTCGTAAAACAAACCTTTTTTTTCGCCATTTTTTTAAACATATATTTCAATCTGCAAAAAGAAAACATTTATTAATTATAATAATGTCTACATAATACAATATGTTTAGTAAAATAACACTTTAATATTAAACAAAAATGTTTCTATATTATAGGCTTTTAATCATACATTGTTCGATGACTTGAGACAATATCATTGTAAAATAATGCCTACAGTTGTAAGCATTTAAGTGTCTAAAATTGAAACCATTGGACTTAACTTAAACTTTTAAATTTAATTTTCATACTTATTTTCTACTGATGTATACTCTTCATTTTGTTTTGGAATTTTCCAAAAGATAGTAATCATGCATTAGCCCTGTGCATTTTATGTAATTAAAATATGTAATTGAACAATTATGTAAATTCTTTTAAAAATGGCCCAAATTCTATCAACATCAAAGCCACAGATCTGACAGAAGAACTACTAAACTTTAAAAAAAAATGGCCACAACTTAGGTACTCCTTAAATGATGGAATTAAAAATGTACATAAAACACAAATTCAATATGATATGGAAGAATCTAATAGTGAAGAAGGAAAAAAGGAAGAAAATCATTTTGATATTGACCAAAAAATAAACATTGTTGTTTCAATATCTTAGTACAATATAAACTGTATTCAAATGCATATTATAATTTATTTATAACTTATAAGTATGTTTTAAGCTTATCTTCAACTCAGGTTGAATGCAAAAGAAGTTTTTCTACGTTAAAGTACATAAAAACATGTTTAAGGAACTGTTTAACTGACAATCGTTTGGAGACTATGATGTTAATGCACATCAATAATGACATATTCCTATATTAGACGATATTTAAACAGAACACATCGGCATGAAAGCTGCAAACCAGTCTTCAATTTTAAGAAAAGCTCTGTTAATTTAATTACAATTTTTATATTGTAAGTTTTAAATAATCAAATATTTAATTAATTTGTATATTAAGTACTTATAATAATAATACTACTGCTTTATTACAATTTACTTTAATTTTTTTTTTTTTATTCATTTGATTACCTACAAATAATTTTTCCTTGTTATAAATTATTATACTTTTGATAGCCCTCTTGGCGGCTGATTTCCCGGGCTCTTTAAAAATGCTACACTAGTGCCATTGAGAGAGTGCCACTGGGTGGCGACCAACATTTTTCCGATCTCGCGCATTCCAACTACTAAACCTTCCCGAACGCTGGCATCTGTCAACTCTGGCTGATACCACCGTCGCTGCTACTTCCACCTGGGCGCGCGCGAGTGGGGGAATTTAAGGCGACTAGGCAGTAGAGTGGGAGAAATTTGGAAATTTGGTTCGAAACTGCGGAGCTCGGTCATTTGGATGCTCCAACGAGTGGCACCCTCTGGATGGCACTAGTATAGTCCAACCCTGTAATTATGTCTTACAGATTATTGCTATGTCATTAAAAACAATGTCAGTTATGTTTTAAATTTATATTTATCATTCTAAATAAGTAATTAGTGCGGATATTCAGTAACCAAAATATCCAACTCCAGGGTGTACACAGTGCCCCGTGAGGATATCCGATATACCCATAGTAGAGTGGGACTATAGACAAAACAGTTTGTAGCAGTTTTAACTACAAACTAAAAAAATTATTAAAAATCACGATTAATGAAAATAAAAAATTGAAAGGTCAATATTTTTCAGAAAAATAAACTATAAAATGGCTATCTTCAGACTTCAATTATAATAAAAATAAAACTTTTTTAACAACAAATTTAAATAAATTAAAATATAAAATATGTGTAGTCCTTGTGTCTGCGAGTCAAATAACAAAAAACAGATTTATGATAAATACAGTAGCGTACGCAGGATTTTAGTTCAGTTAGGGTTTTTTCTGAGTAAATAATTTGCATTATTGTTTTCTAACAGTTTTTATATAACAAATTATAGTTACTCTCAAATTTAGTCTACATTTTAGCTGTGTTTAACTGGGTTATCTATAGAGCCTCCTTGAGCCGTAATAAACGTGGTAATAATTGATGGACGATGATATACCATCGATTATGGCAGATGCTTATTAGGAATGTTCTAAATCAGCCAAAAAAAATAGAAACTGATTATCGACGTTTTTGTCATATTCAACAATTTATTTTATATCCATTAAAAATGACCAACAATTGATCTGTGTGTATCAACATGGTGATAAATAAGATTTTTTTGTAGAAAAAATAAATTTCAGGTGGGATCAGAACCCTAGAACCCTACCGCTGCGTACGCCACTGGATATATCTATTATCCCAGGTGATATCACGACGAGTAAATCCTTGCAAGACACCCTTTATTTTAAGGTTTATATGTTACCAAACAATATTTTCTAAGAAATATAACTCGTTAAATATTTCTATTTTCTTCTACACTAGAATAGTTGAGTAACAATACATATATACATTCACATAATATTAATATTAAATGTATGTACTTTAAAACTTTATCCCTGAATTTTATCAACTGACACAAGTTTAACTTATTCGACAGTTGATATTGAGCACTAACCAAAGTTATACAACATATAAACCTATAATATCAATGTTGTTATGATATAATATTATGCATAACAATAAGATAATAATCAAGAACCTTCTATTAGTTATGATATAGAAGATCTGTGAGCAAAGAATTCTGTAATCCATAGGTATTATTATGAGTTGTACTCCATAAATACATAATACATATTATAATAAAATTAAGCTTACCTAGTTCATTATACATTTTCAACAATCGTGTATTGATTTTTTTTTATACTAAATTACAGTTTATTATGTTATAAGCTTTCTATTACGAAAAAATAACTACTACCTATCTATACTATTGTGTAGGTTTCAACTTGATAGAATATTATTTCAAAAACGTTGGCACTTAGCGCCTAATATAAATTGTTAGTACATAAATACGAAGTATGGTTGATTGTTAATTCAATAAATTACTAAATAATTGAAACTTGAAAGATATAATATTTTTTGGAATTTGGATGTCGATTCTTGGAGCTTAAGTTTAAAAATACTAAATAGTGTAAAGTTATTAATTTATTTTAACTGACTTCAACCTGTTCAATGTTCATGGGACCTAGAAGTCTAGGCTACAACTGATAAAAACTATGATATCTCATTGGTATGTATGGTTCATGGTTATCTAGTAAATAACAGGGTTCTGGTTAAAACCATAGACCTTATACCGTATAAGGTCTATGGTTAAAGCACAGATTTTCGATGATAAAACCAAAAATTTAAAAATCCTTTTAGCCTTTAGGGCCCATAGGCCATAGCCAGATCAAATAATAATATATTATTACAGATTAATATCTGGCATTCTGGCAGTTACAGCACGGTAGACTTCTGTCTTCTATCTTAAACCGTGAGTTACAGTTTTTTCATAGTCAATTATAAATAATTGTGACACGCTATTAACCTATGGCGTTAAGTCGCGGAAACATTGAAGAGAAAGAATTGGAGAAATTACCCCACCAAAATTCAAAAATAATTGCCAATATTCTAGATAGTTTAATAGATAAACATAACGTAATGCTGTTCAAATATTAATCAACGCATAAATGAATTAGGTACCTAACATCCTAACAATAAACAAATTATAAATAATAATAAGTTATAACCAACAACATAGAGCCTTACACTATTCAGTTTATACTTTATAAACAACTTTTTATCATATACTAAAATATAAAAAATCGGTCTGCTGTACAGTAGGTTACAAGTGGGTCACTGTGTATAATGGATGGTATTAAATTTGAATTCAATGATATAATATCATTGTATGAGTAAAACGATTCTGAGCGGAGCCGGTATGTCAGTCTAGGTATACGACATATTATTTACTTATCTATGGTATTAAAAAAAAAAATTGACCTATAATAGGACATAACTATAATAAATTCCAAATTAAACATATCACAACAACCATTAAGTACTTATAAAGCGTTATACATCAATAACAAAATCTGATACTATCATAGATATATAAAAGTATACTTTAGAAGTTTCAAATACCCACGAATAATATACAATCACAACAAAATAACTAAAACAGTTATTCTAGGTTTATAATATGTAATTTCATCCAAATTCGAACTTAAAATGACCATAAAAATAAACCGTGCTTTTGTATTTTTTAGATTTTTTGGTAACAGAATAAAATACTTACGTGGAATCTTGTTTTAAATTTTCAATCCTTAGATATAAAAGTTGAACATTTTATAAATTTTTAACTACAAAATAATTATTCAATTTTAAATTTGATACATTTTGTCAAAATTTGATCTTAAAATGCTTTTAAAAAAAATTGTGCCTATGTATTTTTAATATTTTTTAACTGCTATTGTAAAAATATAGTAGGAGCCTTGTACTGAACTTTCAAGTCTTTCAATGTTTTTTCATTGTTTGAGTGTCTGAGTGAAATGAAGAACACATAACATATTATAATACATACATTCAACTGTGAAATTTAATTTTCACCAAGTTTATATAAAACTGTTAAAACGTTTTGAATATGTACATCTACATCACTAATCACTTGTCAATGGGTACTCTATTATTATTATGAATTCATAATAAATTAGGTTTTATTTATTTACGGTAATGTAAAACAATCCCATCATAGATCTTACAAAATATTTAACTACAGAGTAGATACTCAAAATAATCAACAACATAATATAATTATTAAAAAATGTATCATTATCTACATAAATAATTAAAGAAGTTTTATCACTGAATCATTAACAAATTAAAAACTAATATTCTTTTAAAAAAAAAACTAAACTTCTTTATTTTATTTAATAATGGTTATAAAGAGGTAAATGTAAAATTATTTAAAAATTATTATAGTTGAGGTGTCAATCCCAAACGCTTAACTACTGCTAATTGTGCCCTTGCTGAATCTCTCAACGAAAATATGTGTAACAGTTCCTTTTCAGACTTGGACAAAGGTACAGCTTTTTCTAAACATTCCACAGCTTCTTCTAATTTTCCTCTGCAACAGTAACCACAAATTACTATATAACTGTTATATATATATATATATATATAGATAGTATATAAAAAACGGGTAAACTTTTTTAATACAAGTAGTAAAATATAATATATAATGTTGACAAGAATCAAAATTATAATCAATAGTGTGTTATATACTATTATATGATCATGAAGTGAATTAGATTGATCTCAGAAGAAATAACTTATCATAATGTTTGAAAAAAAATTAAAAATATAATTACTAATATGAACAAGACAGGAATACTGTATTAAGATTCATGTTAGTAGATCAATAATAATTATGCTACCCGGCAAAATATTTCCTATTTGGAATAATATGTCATTCCGTATGCTACCTAGACATACAATTTACTAAATAACTATACAAACAAATTCTTACTTTACTTTATAATTAATATTTAATTAAAGTTACAACAAAGTTTGTCAATAAAGAACAGCTTCAAAGTGTTCTAGCAAGTAAGTTACCCAGCCTGGATCTATAATTTTTCCAAGTTAAGAAACACAGTCGGTGACCGACTTGTGCGCAGCAGTGGTGCAATACTACACAGCAGGTGAATAGATCAACACCTGGTGCAGGTGACAAAACAGGTATTGCCTGACTGCCACCATTGAAAGCTGGTTGCCGCTGACTGTGCTTCTTAAGAGGACATGATATTATGTTGTCTCCGTCTCACAAGTGAGTAATATAGCAAATTGTAAGCTCAGCAGAATACGTATAGCTCTGTTAATTTAAAAATTAGTGTGAATTGACCTCTTCTAAAATCTAAAGGTAAGATGATTATCTAGGAAACCTCATGGGATTTTTATTATATTTTAATTTTAAACTGAGTTATGAGTATTTTAACAAACAATTAACAATTTTAAAAAGCTCAGAACTCGCTTTAAAATTAAAATATAATAAAAAACCCAAGAGGTTTCCTAGATAATTATCTTACCTTTAGATTTTAGAAGAGGTCAATTCACACTAATTTTTAAATTAACATAGCTATACGTATTCTGCTGAGCTTACAATTTGCTATATTACGCACTTGTGAGACAGAGACAACATAATATCATTTCCTCTTAAGAAGCACAGTCAGCAGCAACCAGCTTTCAATGGTGGCAGTCAGGCAATACCTGTTTTGTCCCCTGCACCAGGTGTTGATCTATGAGTCTAATTCTTAAGCTAACGGAGCTATACGTGTTCTGTTGACCATAAAATTTGCAAAGTTATGCTCTTGTAAGACGGAGACAACACATGCGGGTATCACATCCTCTTAACTTGAACAAAGTATATGTGACGATAAAAAAATTAATTTTTATTCTGTGATCTTTTTTTTTTTTTGTATTCTCGAGGACTGGGCAGAGAACAGCGATTTGCATTAAAGCTCCCCGGAAATTATTCTGTGATCTATGCAAGATGATGGTTTCAAATAATAAGTCAAAGTATATTTTTGATTTAAACTGTTCAGGTAACTGTAGAGGAAAATGCATGCTTAGTGATTTTTGCAAGAATATGAAAATACGGTATAAACAAAATATGTTTTTCCATATAAATTAAAAAGTAATAACTAATGATTTCCAACAAATTAGTTTTTTAACTCAATGTTTTAGCCTTAAATTACACGCAATTAAAAATATTCACAAGATTACACGAACACGGTGATTTTTGACCGCATACTGAAATGTTTCAATTAAAACTCGTTAAATTAATTAATAATTATTATAACAATCGATATCAGTTTATCGGCCAGTAACTATTAGCAAATACAATTTTAAAAATAACAATTGAGTTTTCAAAAAATTGAATTATTTATTAATTTCAGTCTACCACACTACGTCTTTTAGACGGTATTTTTAATAGGTAATGAACTTTGAAAACTTTTATATTACTTACATCATATTGTATAAAATTGGGAGTCTCGTGTAAATTGAGTTTATCGCCTAATTAGAAAGTATTTAGGTTAGATTAAGTAAATATTTTAAATTCTTGAAACAATGAACTAATTACTTAAAGCCTGGTCTTTTAGACTGTAAACTGTGTGCTCTAGAGTTACAAACATTAGATTGCCAAAAACAATCCAAACAATTTTAGAAAGTTATTGATTCCCAGAAAAAATTGATCTTAAGCGTTTTTAGTACAAATTTTGTAGGCAATTAAAAAAAGGAAGCATAATGACGCAAAACATGAACATGTTCAGTGGGGCCCATTATCTTCTTGAAGAATAAAAAAATAATAATAATAAAAAAAAAAAAATAATAATAGGTATTATTATACCTTCAAATCTATTGTAGGTAGAATAATAAACTATTACCTCCATAATTTTACCTTACATTATTTTTTATATATTTTAATTATTTATAAATCAGCATAAATTCTAGTAATATCTTACGTTTGAATATAAAGTGTTCCCAATGTTTCATAAGCATAGTCACATTTTGGGTCAACTTTTATTGCCTGTTGGAGGAAGGTGAATGCTTCGCTGATCGAACTTTTCCATGATAATACAACCAAAGCTAAAAAATTGTGTACATTTTTTACAGTTGGCATTGCATATTTTATAATGACATTCAAAGATTTTAAGAATATAAAAATTTAAAAACCTCTGTGTACTAATAAAGTAGCATTTTCTGGGTAAATTTCATACACTTTTTTGAATAACGAATCTGCCTCTTCATATGCTCCTTTTTCTGTCAATGCCTTTAAATACATTTAAAAATTGCTTAATATACTGGAAAAAAAAGGAACAATTGATTTTTACCTGTGCATACAGGGTGTAGCTTTCAGCATAGTCTGGGTATTTAATAATAAATCCTTTTAACTTGTTTAAAAATTTTTCAGTGTCCAATTCATTTGATGTGTGTTTTGCATGAAGATATTGAGCGTAACAACATTGAACATTTGATAAAATAAATTTAGGATTCAATTCCACAGCCCGTTTGAATTCTTCAACTGCTTTCTCGCTATTCATTTCTAATAAATAAATCTAAACAAAACATATTTTTCTCATATGTATCCATCATAAATTGATCCCTAATTTAATGTTGTAATAATTATTACTTGAGCTCGATGGTGAAATACTTCAGAACTGTTGGGATCAATATTTTCTGCACGTTTCAAATCTTCAAAAGATTTTTCCACTTGTTCTTGTTGATGGTAAACCGATGCTCGTTTGATTAAGGAATTAATAACCAACTATTAGCAAATAATATAACATTAGATATTAGTATAATAATCCAAACAATGTGTGGTTATATAAATTTAGGACATTATGCTACATTATTATGCAGTATTAAATATTATAATATGTTATTCATTATTCAGACCTTACAAAGAAATACAAAATAATTTATAGATACCTAGTATTAAACTATTTGGTTTTATAAGTAAAAACTTTAGTTTCATAACAATTGATACTATAAAAAAATATGTCATATCTAAGTGTTTAAAAATTATTTTATTACAATTTTAAGTCTCTTATACAGTTTCATAAACAATCACTGTTCATTTAATGATTCAATAGTGAACAAATGGTCAATTAAATATAATACAATTTTCCATAATTGGTTAATAAATAATCATGTTATGATGTATGGCATCTTTTATAATTTTTTTAGTTATAACAAAATAACCATGTTAATTTAGTTAATTATATTTAAGAAAAGGTATATTCTAATATTTGTTTGTGGTTTCTCTATTTTGTTGAAGAAGGTAAGTGAAACTTTAGTTCACGTGAATAGAGCACCCACCAAAAACATAATATATGTAAAATGAGAGCCAAGTTCAATACTATAATATATGCCTTGGTTGTTGACTTCAATGACAAAAGAAGTGAGATCTAAATGGGTGCCAACTTGGGACAATATATTGAAGCCTATGGTCTGACTTGGCTAGTTTTCATATACAAATTATTATTAAGTACCTACTAAAACAGTAATGGAAGAGTGAAGATAATTTTCGGAAGAATAAAATAAGAACTCAAAGCTTTAGAACTTGCGAAGGCTATAATGTATAATCTATAATTCATAGCCAAGTCAGACCTCAGGTTTCAATATATTATCCTAAGTTGGCACCCATTTAGATCTCACTTCTTTTGTCGTTGAAGTCAACAACCAAGGCATATATTATAGTATTGAACTTGGCTCTCATTTTAAATATATGTTTTTGACGGGATATCATTACTTTTTGTGTATAAATTATTATAACCTAACCTAACCTAGCCATGATGTATTCTATAAATAAAGTTTATTACTATATACTATAATTCAGTTAATAACATTAATAATATTTATTATAAAATATTTTCTGTGGTATACAGAGTATAAAATATAAAATTAATATAACATTTTTTTTATTTACTATAATTTCTACTGGTGGGTGGGTAATTCATAATCGTAAGATTAATTATTTAATAATTTTAATTTTAATATTTTTAAAAACTAATATTAATTACATACATAGAAAAAAAGTATGTTGCTGCGCGAGGGTCGCCAATATCGACTGGATGTATTTTTGGCAAGGTGATACGGGTAAGGTTAGAGGAGTCAACATTGCATTACATTACATTAAATTAGAGGCACTTAATTAATTAATTGAAAAGTTAAATATAATAGATCAAATAATTGAAAAATTATAATAAAATCAATTAATTTAAACATTTACAAGTTTCTGATTTTTTTCCTTTGTATTTACCTAACTACCTATCTGTAAGCCAAATTTGAACTTTCTAGCTCATCTGGAACTGGGTTAGAATTTTGATCTATAGGTCAGTCAGTGAGTCAGTGATAAAAATGACGATTTTGGGACGTTAATATCTATATATCGGTTTGAGGTGTGTTTATGAAATTTGGAGCACATTTGTATCTTGTTAAAAATTTGACATGTTTATGTGGAATAGTTTTTGAGTTATGAGGGGGTCAAAAGTGGCTCCAAATGGTTCTTGTAATATTACACACGGTGCTGCTCGCCAGTTCTGTTAGCTAGTACTTGGCTTGACAAGCTACCACGGGTCTACATACTACAGATTATACTCATGTGTTTTCTCCATTTACAAATGTACGACATTGAAAATTTTCATTCAAGAGAACCAATTTTGTATTGTTAGTTTTAAGTAAATTGACTTACCATTAAACTAAAAGGGAAGAATATTATCTACGGCATGTCTAGGCTTTTAATTGATATTTTTTAATTTAATTTTATTAATTTATAATTTAATTTTAAAGTGAGTTATAACAAAGTAAAATTCTACAATTTTAAGATACTAACTCGCTTCAATAAAATATCAATAAAAACTTGAAAGATGACCTGCATAATATTCTTATCTTTATAAACTTGGCTATAGGTAAATTAATCCAATATTACAAAATTGGTTCTATTTAACACAAATTTGCTATGTTGTACATTTATAAGACGTGAGGCACAGTGACGCCCTCTTAACATAAATAGGGCATATATGTATACAATTTCTAAGCATTATATAAGTTTGTTGCACTCCTTTCTAGAGTACAAATACTAACATACAAAACAAACCAATAAAAGGAAAATTTTAATGTTTAATCAATTTGTTTTTTTTTTATTTTACTCATTATCTCAAATAGAAAAACGTGGTCATTTAATTACTTAATGTGTATAAACATTTTATATTCAATTATTTCAATCTAAAGATTATCTGGGTAATTTATCAATTATATTTTTAATTTTATTAACTAATTAATCTTTACATCACCTTAATCCAATTTATTAATTAGACTTTATCACGGATTATTGTGGTTAATTTGTGTATCAATAAGTGCTTGATTAAATTAATGCTTTTAATGAGGCTATAGAAATTCGTATTTACATTTTGTATACACGTATTTGACTGATCGGTTTTATTGATCAATTAAGCAAATATTTATTATAAAAATAACCAATCACCCAAGAAATCAATATACATTATTTAATTAAACAAATATCTGATCAATCGATACATCCTATCGACAAACTTATAATAGATAATACTTAGGGCTCGGATTAAATGCTCCAAAAATATTGAAAACAGTCCTAACAAAAAATGAATTTATGACCTAAAATTATTAAAAACATATTCACCGGAATTGGTCCAAGATTTCTTTAGAAATCAAGGTAAATTAGTAAATCATTTTATTTAAAAACCCAGGGAAGTAGCCAAGGGGAGGGGGTGAATGGGCCATGTCAATTATATACCACTGATTAATATGTACATGTCTTGTTAAAAGAAGGCCCAAAAATATTGTAGGCACCCCAAAATTCAGGTCTGCGCACACCTATGACATAAGATAACATAATGTTGAGTTTAATATGAACAATAATAATAAAAAATATGAAATATTTATGACATCAGTCAATGTTTTCATAGTAGGTACCTAAATGTGATCTCATAAGTTCTCCCATCTAATTCCCAAGTAAAAATATCTTTTAGTGTCCGAATGTGTTACGGCCATTATTTTTACTAATAATCAGTAAACACCTGTTGAAGAATTGCCATAGCGGTGCTCTTCTTAATTGGTTTGACATTGACAATATTTATGTTATAATTTTTATTTTATATATTTTTTGTGTTTATCAGGTAATAAAACAATAGTTTTAAACAACAACTAGATAGCCACCTCCGTCTTATTATCGGAGTCGGCCCCCATTTACAGAGCAAGCATATAAGTATATATGTAAAATAAATTTAAACATTGCTTGCTTTATAAATGGTGGTAGACTTCAATATTAGTCACAACTGTAGAATAAAGACGGCTATCTAGTTGTTATATATAAACCTATGAATAAAACAGTTGCCGTTTTTTTCTGTGGTAATCTATTTGCCTGTTGGGGGCCCTTTTTTCCAATAGTGGACTGGGCCTTTTCGAGCCAGTCCAAAACTGTTTGTGTATATAATTTATACAACTATCACCAAACACACAACACTAATTACAGATTGTTATACCTTGTTTGGAACTCCTGATGATTCTATGACAGCAGTGAGATGTTCAACCCCAGTTGCATAGTTACCACGTAGTATTGAAAAAGTAGCAAGCAGATTTAATGCCAATGTTCGACGAATTAAACTATTATCAGTCTTATTCAATTCTTCTTTACAAGCTTCCTCAATTTGTTCATAGTTTTTATTATTGATACATTTTAATGCCAATTCCAAACCAGTACTAAATAATTACAACAAAAAACAAACATTAAAAATTGTGTTATAAGTTGTAACACATTTTATTACAAAGGCAATACAATATAAAAAATTATCATAATTCATAATTAAAAAAGAATAAAAATACGTCTGAATCATGTTTTTCTTTTTAATTACGCTTAATAAGTATTTAATTACAAAATAATAAATAATGGTAAAGGGAAAAAAGTTAATTGACTAAAATTAATTTAAAACCAACTCACTTTATTTCGGATTTCATTAATGTTTGGGGAAATTCATCATTAAAAGGATCTTCACTGAATGACTTCAAATAATTTTCAATGAATATTTTGGTGGGCAAATTGAAGGCATTGTGTTTTGTGTACTCTTCTAAGTTCTGCTTGCCTAAATGTACATTCAAATATTAATAAAACTATTGTAATTTAAATTTTACACAGTAAAATATATAACTAATGTTTTGTATTACAAATATTTTTATTACTGACATATTATCAAGACTACCAAAAATTACAATTTCTAATTATATAGAATAAAGATTTCACGGACCAAAGACAAGTAAATAAGTTCTAGATAAGAAACCAAATTTTCCACATGAAAAGGTACCTACATAAAGAGTACTCTTTCACTAAAACAATTTAAAATAATAATAACTTTTTCTTAATAGTGATAAAAAAAAAATACAATAATTGTTCTCATCTTGAAAATTAGATTTCTCAACTACGAGCTATTACCTGCTCGATTCTCCCTGAGCAAAACAGGTTGGTGGTCTATGAATAGAGGCCCCTGGGCAACCCTTGAATCTGCCACTGACCACTTAAAAGCGAGTGTAGCTACCTTTTAACTAAGATTATAGTCCGTGGTTCATGCTTAAACGAATCAGTTTTTAAACAAACAATTTATATTTTATGCACAGATCAGTTTCTAAGAGTTATCGCTTATTACATAATGCAATCATATTATACCATTATAATCAATGATAATTTATTTTTAAAAAATTTTACCCAAAATTTAGTTTTTAAACCATTTATATGACAATGCCTAAAATATTCTAAAGTATACTTATTTTAAGTATGATGCAGATCTTATAATCTTACCCAAACTTTTTATCACACTATCCGCAAACATTATATCGGGTTGATTTTTAAACTCGTCCAACATTACAACAGCTGTTATGTCTTCTAGAGCAAGTTTAAAATTTCCCAATTCTGTAAGTGCTCTAGCTCTTCGGGATAATGCTTTTTTGTATGACGGTACTAACGCTAAGGCTTTGTCACAGTCAGCCACACAATTCTCATTATTGTTCTAAAAGTAAATCGAAGGAATAATTTAAGAAACTTCTTTGAAACAGTTATTTATTAATTATTCATTACCAATTTACTGTAGGCAGCAGCTCGGTTTTGATACAGAGTGGATAACAGTCCTTTCTCAGTCAGTGGACACATTGACAAGGCTTGTGTGTAAAATGTAATGGCTGCATCATAATTTTGTTTTGCGAACTCTGCATTTCCCTGTTTTTTAAATTCTTCAACTTGTTCAGAAAGAGTCTGCACGGATACAATCGATCAAAAATTAAATTTGTGTTAATAATAATGACAAACATAATCGGCTGTACAATATTTTGTGTTGTATATTTATAACAAAAGTGTAGGTAATAAGTGAATAGACTAACCGGTTTGTGAACTTTGACTGTATTGGAATCAATTCCGTTAGACACGAGTGGCTTTCGGTCGACATTATTTCCTTCTATGCCATGTTTGGCTGTCGGTTCGCGAGGTCGCCGGTTCTTATTATTCGATTTTGAGTAAAAATAATAAGTCGCCCCCAAGCCAACCGCAAAACACGGTACGCAGACGGCCAAACTGAACTTCCAGTTGGACAGGAAACTGAACGACGAATTTGTGGAATCGGACATTGCGTTGTTACTATGACACGACTTCCAGCGGACACCACTTGAATTGTTCTACCACAATGAACACATGTTTGACGAATTTAAATTTATCAAGCCGTGCACACGGTGGTTTAAATTATGTACAACAAAAATAGGTAAAATTATATTTATTATATAGTACTAACGTCAAACAATAATTATACAAACGAATAAAACAACATACAACCACGGCTATAATCGAGTAGTGGTGCCGCCGCGGCAATAATCTTAAAAGAAAATCTAATTGCGATTAGCGAAAGCAAGTGAAGCAACAAATTATTAAAGAGCCGAAGACGAAAATGTGTTAAGAGCCTGTGGGCCGTGGCAAGAGGCAAATATATTAGCACAGCAGTGCGCTCTTATCAGCGGCGCGGAGCAATGATGTAATATTGATAACGGAAACCTCACGTCCGATCACTGAATATATTATTTATACGGTTAGATATGGTTGATATGGTTGGACGTGGATTTAGCGGAGATTGTATAAACTAGATGGTTCAATTTTGGCGCCAAACATCTGGCTTTCGAACATAATGGAAATTAGAAACTTGTTTTAAACAGATATACCAGTCACCACTCACCAACACCTTACTCATACACAATACACTTACAAACAAAAACACACTTAACTTAGGGTTTCCAACGGAAGCGATGGACAAAATGTTCAAGGGGAAACATTTGATACGTATTAGTTGAATACCGATTCATGTCAGAGGGGAGGTCCTTGCTCATTACGAATCGATACTATCGATGGTTCATCTCACAAGTGTTTACTATTGTACGCTCAATTTTGCACCGACACTTACCTTTCTAAATACTTGAATTTCTTCCTTGAAAATGTAGAAGGTATTGTGATTATGTGTTAATTTTACTATTCAACAACGTTCGTACGCAGAGGTTTATTATTATAAGTTATAACTTATAACCTATTATGTAAGCCTAGTCATTTAAAAAAAATATATTATTTAAATATAATATACCCATTCATTCATGGGTTAATATAGATATAGATATTATGTTCTACAACAAATTTAATAAAAATTCAAGCTTTATAAATTTTTTTTTTTAATATTAAATATTAATCAGCAATTACCAACATTATTATTTGCAGTCTTTGATGGTGTAGTTTGATTTATATAATATGGCCACATGGATTATAATAAATTAATGAAAGATATTAATTTAACTAAATTAAAGATTGCTTTTATGCAACCCGGCAATGAGTTGTACATTAACTACTAAGGTAAGTTTATTTAACTTTTGGAGATGATAAATAAGTAAGTTTTTGATTCTGAGAGGAGCGATGAATGTATTAATTTCACAACAATGTGTATTTTTTTTTTTTATTTAATTTTTTTTTGTGTCCGTCTTTACCATTTGGGGCAGAAAAATTAATATAAAATTATAATAAAATAAATTAGTATAAATATAATATAAAATAGTTTTCAAAAGCGCAAGAAAAAACAATATTAAGGAAAAACTGGAATTCTTACTCAAAATTTTCGACCAAATCGTTTTTGGTTTTTGGTGTAACTCTAAAACGACTAAAACAAATGACCGTATAAATAAATGAAATTTTCACTAAATGTTTATATTAGCATTTTCTATTCAACATTTTCAAACTATTTTGACTTGTTTTGAGGTGCTTATGTTTACTGACATTTTCCGTTTCCAATATTTTTTCTATAAATGTCATTTCACTAAATTAAATTAATTTAAAAATATTATTCATGGGTACTTGAAATTTGTCATATATATTATTATATACAAATATTGAAATATGATAATATGCAATTAATATAAATTCAACTTACCGGCTACCGTATTAATAATAACAATATAAATATTATATAAAATATCCTAGGCTACAAACCATGTCTTTGCGTTCAGAATCGTTTTTCGTATAGAGTAATATTATATCCTTGAATTCAAATTTAACTCCATCCATTACAGTGACCTGTGACCAACTTGTAACCTACTGTACAGCAGAAGCAGAGCTAACTTTTTTTAAAAATTACATTACCTAATAACAATGTAAGAATTCAAAGGTGGGCAAGTAATGAAAATAATTAGGTATACCTAACTCAAGTTAAGAGGACACATCACACAAGACTGATAAGTTGAAAGTTAAAAGTTAACAAATCATACATTTACCTATCTAAGTTAAAACTTAATCCGGAAAAAAATATTAACTTAACTCAGTTTGAAAATCTACTAAATTATGTATAATAAACAATTTGATTGAACTTTCTACGTATTTTACAGTGTAGGACTGTAGGTTGTACCTACCTATTTTACTTTACATGATTATTAAATATTTAAACTATACCAACACATCCCAATTAAAAATTTAACAAATATTAATTTTTTGATATCAAATAGCAATTTAAGGTCATATAATATTATGCCTATCTAATCTACTAAATATATTTATTTACAAAATTATTTTACCTAGAAAAATAACTGAAATTTTTGTAATAAGTACCTACTGTTGTTTTAGATTATTTTTATTTTTATTTTAGTATTAATATTTACGTATAAGGAATAAAACTATAAAAACGAAAAATTTCAAAAAATGTTAACTTGATGGATTATTTATAATAAACTGGGGAAAGTTAAGTAATAAGTTATTTAAACTGTCAATTAAACTAGTTAAGTTCATAAATTGATTAGAAAATTAACTACCTTACTATTTTTTCTAAATAATTGTACTTATAAGAGAAAATATAAATTGCATATTATTATAATATTATATACCTAATATTAAAAGATGTCAAACAAAACAAGATGAGAGGCTCGGTGTGGTGAGGTGGTTGGCCGAATCCTCTAATGTGTGCTTACTAGGTACTGACTTCAGCTGAGGTCAAGCATCGTCCAGCGTCGCTATAGCTAACGGATGGGTAACCAACAGGGTTTTTAGTGGCGAACTGACGAATTCTCGCCCCACATAAAAAAAAAATTACCAATTTGTGAAACAAAGACAATTATTAATTATTATTATAACATAACCACAGATATTTATTATTTTTGATTATAATATAATATAATAATACACTTAAATATAAATTGGTTGTTCTCAAGACTCGCAGTCTTAAAACGTATACTCTTTCCTGGACGTTTTCAAAACGGATTATGCTCATAGGCGTGCGCAAGGGGGAGGGGGGTAGGCCACGGCCCCTGGATTTGTCTTTAATAAATACATAGATATCTATGCTATACGAAATAGCGAACATTTTTACATTTTACATGAAAAAAATTGAAGCCAGTTTTAATCTCATAGTATGGATACCTGTGAATAAATGTAATAAAGTTATTAATTAATCAGTTATCATCGACCAAATGATTTATTATTATCACAGAATATTCTACTATATTAGATAGTGGACTATTTTTTTTTATTACAGTGTATCTCAGTGGCGTACGCAGGATTTTTCAATGGAAGGGGAGGGGCTTGAAAATTAGTTAAAGTTTTATTTTTATTTTGTTCAGTCTAATAATTGCAGACGTTTATTTGAGGTATTTTAAAATGTTTGTAACTTTTCAACTTTTCTGGTAGAAAAAATACTCTGATCATAAGCTTCGATGCCCGATGTATGTTTTCGGAAGCAAATTGAATCTAGTTGGTACTTTTAGGAGGTCGAAATTGAAAATGCTCAGTGCTTTTTAAAATAATTGGAGAAAAAAAAATGAAATTTTTTTAAAATTGTCTGGTAACCAGTTTGGTTATACCGTCCTCATTTGGATTGTATTTGATTAATTAACATTTTTTTTTCTATAAATGTCAATAAAAAATTATTTATCCGGTCAAAAAGCTTAAAAATGTAATACGTATGTTTTTATTATAGCTAAAATATTCACGATACATAGGCGGGATATTTCTTATCGCTTATCAGCCAGCAGCCGCCCCTCTGCCACCAACAACTACAACTACAACATCGATTACTGGTTGGCGACGGGTAGTGGTCAAGGTTCTGAGTTGGGACTGTTAAGGTTGGTAATAACTCACAAATATTCTGAAAATAATCTAAAATATATTCTGAACAAAATTGATTCTGAAGACATCATTAATATATTAGGAGCTATAGAAGCCCAGTATTTGGTAGAATGTTATTATTTAAAAAATTTAAAAAAAAATAAATGATTTTAAAAATGTGTTTTGTTGTACCTACATTGTTTCCTTTTGACATGGTAGGTCATATAATTCACCTAATAATGTACTTTCGAGTGAAGTGAGCTTATTTTTTTTTCATGTGGGCCAGGGGGCCCCTTTTAATAATTTCCCAGTAGGCCAAAAATGGAGCCCATGCAGTATGACACTATTACCTACGTCATCAATAAATATTAGATATTAACGTGGAGTATCAGTTTTCAACTTTTATTAAACGTGTATTCTAAAGTTATAAAATAACTAAAAAAACATGGTATTGTCTGAATTCACCCAACATGTCCGAAGTCACCTCTTTTTACGGTAGTCATTAGTACTGCAAGAATCTCTGGTTCAGACATTTTTAAGGGGAACCCTGAGGACAAAGTCTGCGCACGCCTATGATTATGCTTAAAACAATTACACGTACCTAGTTATTGTTTCGTAGTAGTTGCTAGATCAATCAGGGTGACATACAATAGGAATTATTCATGTTTTTTTTTAAAGTTGTTTTGATGAATCGTTAATCGTTATACATAATACTATATAGCTCATAAAATTAAGCATTCATAGTTCATAATTTCATATATATTAAAATATTGTATACCTATAGAGTATAGGTACTTCATACCTACACTTATTAGACAAAGTAAATTATTATTGTATATTATATTAGTATATTACTATTGCATACTGCATAGTATATTTTATTTGACATTTAATATACAATTTTTTATTATATGCTTAAAAATTAAAACATTTATTCATATAACTAATAGGTATATAACATGAATTTATTCTTGTCTACACTCCATACTCTTTGAACACGTTGGCAGCGATCACTATCTTCTGGATCTCAGACGTTCCCTCGTAAATTTCCGTTATCCTGGCGTCGCGGTAATACCTCTCGGCCGGCATGTCCGACACGTAACCCATGCCACCCAACACCTGTATGCACTGGTGCGCGTTGAACGTGGCCGCCTCGGACGCCGCCAACTTGGCCATGGCGGCTTCCTGAAAAGCGCAATATATTTTTGTTCCTATTCATAACCAAAACTGAATATTATATTAAAATAATACATTACTTTCGCGTGCGACGTGTTCGAGTCTTTCAGATAAGCCGCACGCCACGTCAGAAGCCTGGCGCTCTCCACTCTCAACGCCATATCAGCGATTTTGTTCTGATGAAAAAAATATAAATACATGTATACCCAGTTCAGGTTAAGATTGAACCGGCTGCGCGCATGCAAACTGAGCCGCCGAACAGTGCCTGACCCCCCATGCGATGGCTATGCGTTCTGTGATTGCAGGCCGACAGTCATCGGCGGCCGTCGTCGATCGCCAGCGCCGGTGCTGGCCACCGGTGTCCGAAAAAACTTGTTTTGGTCGAGCGAGGGGTTCGATATTAATCTGAACAGAGTATAGGTGTGCTGAGAGAAGTTTTTCAGGACAACAGGACTGAGGACACACAGCCGAAAGGAAGGACAATCCTGCCTGTATAAAACAGGACGTATGGTCACCCTACCGTGTGCACCTACGCTAAATTTACCGTCTTGACCACAGAGGACATATACAGTCCTGTATATTATATAGTTACGTTGCACACATACCTGTATCAATTGCAATTTGGCGATCGGCACTCCGAACGAGTTTCTTTTGGAAGCGTAATCGACAGCTAGCTCCAAGGACGCTTGGGCGATACCACAAGCTTGTGCGGCGACTCCTATGCGGCCGGCGTCTGAAACCGATCAAAACTATAAGAAATGATCTAGTACTCATCATATCAATATAGCTATAAATTATAATTATTATTACCACCTCATATTATTTTCAAAGTTTATATTTCACACCGATCCAAGTTCTAAGTAAGGTAGGTATTTTGATCTATAATACTAACCTAAAGTTATCATCGCATAACTGAAACCCTTTCCCAGCTCGCCTAAGACATTTTCTTCGGGTACGGGACAGTCTTCGAATACCAAACCGCACGTCGACGATCCTCGTATGCCCAATTTGTCTTCTTTTTTCCCCACGAATAAACCTTCAATAGTATATAAATAAATATTGGATACCTATAGATTATTATACAGAGGGTTGATCATAATACTATATGACGTATACATATAGTACCTATATCTGTATAGGTACAGTATACGCGGACCCACTGACCATCACCTTTTTGCTTCTGAGTTTCAGAGATACGTTAGTACGTTACAGATATATAACATAATACAAAATAATAGTATAGTACAATAAGTCAATAACTTATACGTTACTCCTCGACACAGTAGTGTATCTAGGAATTTTTCATGGGGGGGCTTATACAATTTTTAGTAGAACTGGCATTCAGTATAAGTACACATATTATATTCATATTATTATATTATATTTGTATTGTGTACAAACTGTTGTCTCTAGATTGAAACCATACCCCCCCCCAGCCGTAGATACACCAATGCCTTGACACATACATACTATACATATTATTATATATTGTTATTATCATTTAATTACCTGGGAAATTTTTTTTCAACAAAAAGCAACTAATCCCTTTGTGTTTTTTTGATTTATCAGTGGATGCGAATAGGACTAATGCTTTAGATTCGAAACCATTGGTAGTCCAGGATTTCGTTCCATTGATTATATAGTTGGAACCCTTTTTCGTAGCTTTTGTCGACACAGCACTAGCATCACTTCCTAGCCCTTTAAAATGTATTGAAATATTGTTTTGAATAATGACTTCAGAATATGATGCAACAAAAATAATTCCAAAAACGTTCAATTTCCAAGACTATTATAGTAATAAGTACCTGGCTCGCTCAAAGAAAATGAACCTATTTGTTTCCCATCCGTAAATGGTCGTAGGAATTCTTCTTTCTGTTTATCGTTACCGAAATTGTTTATGGCGTTGACGTAAATATTTTGCACGGCCATTATAGTACCAGCCGAAGCACAGCATCTGGCAATACAAATCGAAAACGCCAGATTCAGTCGGTTTGTCGGTATTACCATCTTGTAATTGTTAATTTAATACGTATATTTTATTATTTTTAAATTGTCATTGTTTTGTTTTTACCTAGAAATCTGTTCCGTGGCAATAGCATAAGATAAATAATCAAGACCCGTCCCTCCAACATTTTCGGGAATACATACAGCCATAAGGCCTAATTCGCCCATTTCTTCGATCTATATTGAGAACGCAAACATTTCTTGTCCAATAAATCATTACAAATAAAACACTTATTTTTTTTTTACATAATTACGATGATTTTAAATTATAAATTATAATTATTATTATTATATGCTGCTGCAAGTCAGATAATTAAACCAAAATAAAATAATGTAGGTCGGTATACCTACTATTATATTATGTTTATTAGTTTTGAAAAAACAAAAATCGAATTTGACTTATAGTTTTATTCTAATAATAATATTATATTATACATACATTGAATTCTTAATTCCAATAGTATCTACCTGTTTTTTAGGGAACAATTTTTCACGATCAGTTTTTGCAGCTATAGGTTTAAGTTCTCCCTCAGCAAAATCCCTGCATGTTTTGTATAACAATTGATGTGTTTCTGACAGTGACGCCAATGATGCTATCCCTTTTCCTTCCTGGTATTTGGAAATCCATTTCAGTATGGTATTAGGGCACAATTTATAACTTATTCCTAAAAAAAAATAACTTATTAAAATATAAAATAAAGCAACTATACTGAACAATATATTATTTAATAGTGTTTTTATGAGCACTTACATTTTAAAAATGTCATATAATTCATATCAACAAATAACAATATACTATTATAATAAACCGAGATATGCCATAGAGAATATGAAAGGCACCTACAATCCGAGAGGTCTAGTTATAGATTATCTAGACTTATAAATACGGTGATAATATTATATTATGAAATTAAACAGATATCTTAAATAATACTATAATTTTGAAATTAATTTTCTGATATACCTACCTACTATAAATTAATAACAATAAATATTCTACTATTGTCAAAAACTTTGGCTAGTTTAAGACTTGACCCAAAATTCTAAATTAAGTTTAAGTACCTATAATGGATTTATCTGCCATCGATAAAATGACAATCTGACATAAATACATAATATAGTCCATGTATATAATATGTATATAACATTATTATGTGTATGTGTGTTTATCAGTGTATCACGTGGGACTTACAGTGGTTTTTATATTTCGTAAAAATGAATACAATTAGATGAATAAAATTAGATACAACCACGACATGGACTTTCCATAATATTATTATAGTATCGTATAAATATTGAACCTACTCATTGCTGCGCTTGTGATTTGTGGTTTCGCACGTCACCTATAGTTACCTTAAAATTTCGTTTTTTCGATAACACGCGAACCCGGCGAGCCGTTTGTCGTGTATGATACAACGTTTATCGCTCAATCCATTTGATAACCTTAAATCATTCGGTCGTACATTATAAGTTGTAGCAATGGACAACAACATAAATGGAGACGTTGAAGACAATGGAAGCGATCTTCTTGCCGAAGAGTTGGCCAAACTCCAACGACAGTACATGCTCATGGAGAGCAATAAAAAAGCGTATACAGAAGAAATGGGCAGTCATTTGGCCAAACAGAAGTAAGTCTAATAAATATCATGAATCAAAAATATCTATACTTTATAGTTTAAACTTTAAACCACATAATAATATGTAATATTATTATTTATTATTTTACTGTTATAATATGTATAATTCAGACATTACTATACAAGAATTATTTTATTTTTTAATTTTTTTTTTATTTAAATTAATATCAAAAGATTAATGGATTTTGTGAAAAATTTTCAAAAAGCCTACGTTAATTTAGGTAAGGTATTACACAGTTATTTAATGTTAAATATTATTAATAAAACAAATGTAGGATTTTTAAGATTTACTCACATTCATAAGTCATCAGTAGCGTAATTAGGAATTTGGTTTGGGGGGGGAGATATACGCTTTTAGCAAACATTAATGGTCATTAACAATACTTTGATCAAAATGTTAAAGTCTTTGGAAATATTAATAAAATTGAGATTGCTTTAGTTGCTAATTCTGAGTAATTGCCCGCGCATAAACGTCCCCAAAATATTTCCAATGAAGTTTCATAAAACATTTGTTTCAATTTATTATCACACGATACCTCAATTAATTGATTTTCAATGTCAGTAGACATATTTACTGTCATTATATCTACTGCGAATGGTTGTTCAATCCACTTATAATTTACTCGAATATCCTCAGGAAAATATTGGTTAGATAATTTTTCTAAGTTTGTCAAATGTTAGTTGACTAATTCAGAAATAATGTCTTCAAACTTGATTGAAGAATCTTCTTCTAAAAACTCACTAACGTTGGTTAAATTATCATTATTTCCAGAATATACTAGAAGCTTTTATTATTCGAAGTTTTTTCTTAAATGATTCAATTTTTTTTGTAAGATCAAATATGTTGAAAAAATTGCCCTGCATAGACAGATTTAACTCATTGAGTAAATTGAAAATATCAGCTAAGTATGCCAAAGTAATAATTCATTTTGAATCTTCAAATAAATCTTTGTAGATTGAATTTTTACTATTTAAGAATAAAATTATTTTGTGTCGCAATTCTTAAACTCTTTGAAGACACTTACCTCTTGATAACTAACGTACTTCGGTGTGTAACAATAGAGATTCATGGAATGAACCTATTTCTGAACAGAGTATTTTAAATAAACGTGAATTTAAAGCATTTGATTGTATATAATTTATAATTTTAACAATTTGTGCTAAGTCGTCAGTCAATGTTTTGGGCATTTTTTTGGATGCAAGTGCTTCCGATGTATACAGTATGTATACATGTATGCAGTGTGTCCACTTTAAACTTGGAACAATGTCTTTTACTACGTAATATTATTAGTCCGACGTGTTTTCCAGTCATAGCAGCTGCCCAATCAGTTGTTATAGAAATACAATTTTTTAAATCTACGTTATTGTTAGAAAAAAAGTTTACTAACGTGTCAAAAATGTTTTTTCCAGTATAGTTGAAGTTTCTAGTTTTTGAGGAGAACAGTATATCCTCGTGGATTTTGTTGTTATAAAAATACCTAACATATGTAAGCAAAATCGCTTCATTTGCAATATCGGTGCTTCGTCAAGTTGTAAAGAGAATTAACTTGTTAACCGAGACAAAAGTTGCAATTTCAAATCATTAGTAATAACTAATAAGTGATATACGTCTAGCGACTGTAGTATCAGAAAGAAGAATATTTTTTAATTGGTTTGCAACTTTTTCATTTATAATTTTCGCACACATTTCAAAAGCAGCAGGTAATATTAGTTCTTCTCCGACGGTATAGGTTTCAAACATTTTGCAATTCTATACGAGACTAAAAACGATGCTTTTAAAGCCGACTGCGAAACTGGTGAATATTTTTTATGATTTTTTGATTTTTATGAAAGTATTAGGTTTTAATGATTCGAAATACTCTATAGGTTTTTCTTTTAAATTTGGATGTTTTGTATCTAAATGCCTTTTTAATTTTGATGGTTTTAAATTTTCATTTGTGAGCAATTCTCCACAGACTACACATTGTGGTTGAACCAAATCTCCCATATTAAAAGCACAAAATCCAAATTTTAAATAATTTTCATCATACCTTCGACCAAAAAATTCGGATTTCTTTCTTTTGTGGGAGTTTTCCTCTGCGTTTGAAGTTGAAGGTACCTGTGATAACTTTGGCATGTCTTCATCTGTATTAATTTGACCACTTTTCCGAATAACGAATTTATCCATTTTATTAAATAACGAAAAAAAAGGTGGGCAAGTGGGTGTCGCTCTGCTGTACAGTAGGTTACAAGTGGGTCACGGTATAATGGTAGATATTCAACGATATAATATCATTGTATAAGAAAAACGATTCTGAGCGGAGACGGTATGTCAGTATAGGTATAAGACATATTATATACATATATATGATATAAAACAAAAAATTGACCTATAATAAATTCCAAATTAATCATATCACAATATCCATTAGGTACTTATAACGCGTTATACATTAACAAAAACCGTGATACTATCATAGATATATAATAGTACACTTTAGAAGTTTCAAGTACCCACGAATAATATTATTCAATCACAACAAAATAACTAAAATAGTTATTCTAGGTTTTTTAATATGTAATTTCGTCCAAATTTGAATTTAAAATGTCTGTAAAAAATAACTGTGTTCATATATTTATTAGATTTTTTGTTTACAGTATGACCTATTTATGAGAACCTTTGTTTTAAATTTGCAATCCTTAGCTATAAAAGTTGAACATTTTATAATTTATTAATTACAATGATTGATAATTTTCGAGATTTTGATACATTTTATCAAAATTTCAACTTTAAATGCTTATAAAAAAAAAAAAATTGTGCTTATGTATTTTCAATGTTTTTGAACTGATATTGTAACTATATATCAGGAGTCTCATATTAAGTTTTTACACTTTTTGGCCCAACAGATAAAACTTAATTGATATTTATAGAAAAAAAAAAACTAAAAAAATTGAAAACTGAAAATGTCCGTAAACAGCTCAAAAAGAGTAAAAATATTTTTAAAATTTTATGGTGTATAGAAAATGCTAATTTAAACATTCAGTGAAATTTTCATGTACCTACAGTTGTTCGTTTTTGAATTACAACAAAATAAGGAAATCGCTCTATAAGAAATCGAGTGAATATCCAATGTTGTAAAAATTTGAATTTCAAACGCTCATAAAAATTTAATTTGACTTTCTTATGGATATTTATTTTTTTGATAAAGGTAGATAATCTTATAAGGAATCTTGTATTACATTTTCAAATCTTAGATTTAATAAGAAAAATTTTTACGAATTCTTAACTCAAAATAATTTGCTAATTTTCGTGATTTTTCCATATTTTATCAATTTTTGAACTTTAAATGCTTATAAAAAAAAATTGTGACTAAGGATTTTTAATATTTTTCATCTGCCTTTGAAACAATATATTAGGAGCCTTTTATTAAATTTTCAAGCTTTCGCAACACACATACATCACACATCATTGTAAAATCAATACATTCATCGTTTCACTCAGAATCTAAAAATATTTATGCAAAGTTGGCGAAATAAGTGAAAAAAAAACTTTTTAACGGATACGCAAATATGACTAGATTCTAGTCACTAGAGTCTAGAATAATAACGCGACTAACATATTACTTTTTAGACAGCTAGTACACAGCAACAACATTGATAATATCGATAATATTCGTTTATGATACTCTAACGATTGCAATGTACATTAATTCTATTAATAACACAGTTTATTCGTAAATTCTTATCTCAATATCATCTTACTACGTAGAATCATACTAGTGTAATATGAAATATTATACTTGATATCAATTATGATTATAAATTATAATATTATATTATTATTATTTTTGTTTCACCTTATATAATTTTATAAATTGAATTTACATTTTAAAAAAAAGGACTTATCGTGACCCAATTTTAAAGCTTGCGAGACCCAAAAATGGGTTGCGACCCACCGGTTGAAGACCACTGGTATACACTATGGTCTATTAACTGTATGTTAAACGTTTCAGAAAAATCATCTGCAGTTTGGAACAAGAAAAAGTAAATCTGATGGAGTACGTTAATATGACTAACAACAAACAAAAGGAAACCAATGACTTGCGTTTAAAAGAATGTTTGGTAGAAAAATGGAACGAATACCTGTGCGTCAACGATGAGCTGACAGATCAAAAAAAGTGCCACAACGACATCGAAAAGGAAATATTAAAAATTCAAAATGAACTCGACCTAATATTTAGACAGAGAGAACCCTCGGCGGGCAAATCAAAAAACAAAGTCGAATGCGATCTACAAAGACACGAAGAACTACTAGAGAACAAATTGCACGTGGTAAGTCTTGCGTAGGTATATATTGTAGCCTATAGGTATAGGTAGGTATACGTCCTGCAGTCCTACCTGTATAATTATATAATATTATAATATAGTGTACACCAAACGTTATCGATTGTGCGGGAAAACAAATTTCAGAAAACAGTCAAGTTCAATAAGGTTTTGACGGAGAACGCCCGTTTGAGAAACGAAATCGACAATTTGCTCGTGCAAAGGTCTCAGTTCAACGAAGCGTACAAAACTTTGACGGCGCGTTTGGACAACAGCAAACAGATAATGATGGACCTAATAGAAATGGCCACGACGGCGTACGAACAGAGGTAATATATAATAAGGGTGGGCGTTAGTTGTTCGATCAAAACTCTCTTCTGAACTCCGCGCTGAAATGAAGAAGACAATATTATTATCTTGTAATATATTATATATAGTTTGATAATAGATAAAGTATTATACGCACTAATATTATAATAATATGTCGTTATGTGTTTTTTAGAGAAGATGCTCAAAACCGGTTGATCAACATGAGTGACGAAGACAAACAACAGATCGCTCTGCACAAAGCCGAAGTCAAAGAGTTGCAGAGGCAATACGACCGTGATTTAAAACTTCAAGATTTCTTGTCTATCAAAGGTATACTTAAGCGTGTATACGTTTTAATAAACAACATTAAATGCACAAATCAGTATCGGATATGGTTCGTTTTCTCGGGGAGAATATCCTTTAGGTTCGAAAATTCTACTTTTAACTATTTATACCCACTTAGGCCTAGAGGGAAAAACATGTATCCAATAGAAAAGGCCGATAGGCCAATAGGCCGTGATAATAATGTATAGAATCTATACAGCTTTTTGAAAGAAATTATTATTTATAGGTAGAAAGATTAAAATGTCTAGGGGGGAATGGCCCTTATGGCGACCCCCTAAATGCCATGTCTGGCACTTCCATTGGCGCAACAAAAGAGTCATTAGCACCCCTTGTTTTCTTAGGTTTGACTCTCATTATTATAGTGAAATACCATCAATTTAATGTTTTTAAAATATGAAATATTATAGCACCTCACATTTTAGAGGTTTAGTTGAGCCTTTGGGAACACCAACCTATATTATATAGGTAAATTATAAACTAGTGCTGAGAGTTATCATCAGAATGTCCGTAAATTGTTAAATTCAATAGGGACTCTGTAGATTTTGGGCACCCGCCAAATTTCTGGAATTTTTATTTTCATTTACCAGATTATTATTATAAAAACGGTTCATATTTTCTCAAGTATCTCAATCATGAATAAAGTCAGTTAGAATAAGTAATATAATGTAGACATTCGCGAGGTTGGTTGGTAAAATAATAACAATTTTATGTCCGAAAATATCCGAGTAGGTAGGTACCTATACCTACTACGACCTACCTACATAATAACCTTTTTTCAAAGTGTTTCATTGGAGAGCGTGTGCAATGTGCATAGTGCATGCGTTTAAAAGACCAGCCGCCACATAAAATTTAAGGCCACTGTACTAAATGTTTTTGAGGGCACTATACAAATCTTCCAATAAAATACAACCCATTACAAGCGATACGGTTATCCCATAGGTACACGATTCCTAGGTAATAAATATGGTTACACACTTAAACCACAGACCACAGCCTAAAAAATAACAAAATTACTTAATATATTATAATCATTTATATCATGAAATATTATTTAATATAAAATAAGTACTTATATCTATCAAAATTTCAAAAATTTCAAATTTATTTTAACCGGGTCCTTTTACGCCATGTACAACCGCCCTCCCCGCCCTGTAGATTACTATATGGTTTAATCGTGGAGATATGCGCTGTGCAGCCGTATTATTAAGTTTAAATAATAGTGATTTTAATGATGACTGATGACTGATGACTAAAGGTATTATTTCAATTAATGAATTATTATATTATTTTTCTGATGCAGTAAATTACACGATATCGATATAATATATTATTATAAATGAATAACGACTTTCGTTTAACAATTAAAAATACTAATGTTCGTTATTTGGTATAATACTTAGTATATAGGTTATACATATTATAATATATATTCATTTCACTGACCTACTTATTGAATCTGAACCTATTTTAGATTTTATATATTATATCTTAGTCAGAAGGAAATCGTTGGTCCATAGTTATTTAGATACCTGGATTAATTTCGAATAACTCTAATTTAATTTTTTCTCTAAATCAAAGTCAGATAAAAAATTTTACTCAAACAATCCAGGACCCAATGGAGTCACTTTTGAATAATTTTAAAACGGAATTATTGGTAGCAAATATTTGACAATTTAACGACGTTGGCCACATCAGTATGCCACTAGTTAAAATAGTAATAATATCAACAGTTGAGTATTTTTTTTTTTTGTAAAATAGGACAACATCGCGTGCTCATGGATTTTGAACGTAAAGAAGAAGAGAAGAAACAAAACGAATTGGGAAACCGAAAGGAACAAGCAGAAAAATGGATAGACTTGATGGGGTGGCTACAAATGTACGTGAGCGAGAGCAACATTGATAGGATTGTGGATCTGTTCGTCCGGCAGGAAGAGGAGAACTTCGCGTTGTTCACGTACATCAACGAGCTAAACAGCGAGGTATATACTATACATAAATTATTATAAATTATTGATACGCCCTTTTTTGAGTGTAACATTATAAGTAACATTATAATTTTTTATTATATGTATAATGTATATTATAATATAGTATATTGGAAAATTATCTATCGTTATAGTCTATATAGACGCGATAAGTACCTATTAGAAACTAAATACGAACAAAAAACCAAAAAAACCAATAAATGTACGCTTATCATAATAATATATATACATATGTAGTATATATATATATGAAGTGTGAAATATGTATCGATTGATGTATCGATTGATGTATCTACATATCTATATATCATACTAGCTATACATCCCGACTTCGCCCAAAGAAAATTTAACAGTTAATATAAAATACAGAGTTATAATATCACTGTATCGAGGTGTGGGTACCGTAATTCAAGTATATTATTGTTCTTATTGGCATATGTTTCCGAACATGGTTCAAACTACTCTCTAAGCTTACCTAATATCTTTACTCTAAATCTCTGAAATGTTCGTAGAAATCGGTCAAGTATTATAGTTTTTGAGTAATTGAGTTTCTATAGGTAACAAACTTATGGAAAATCCATTTTATAAAATATGCACCTATACATATTATATAGCAGGGGTGGTCAAACTTATTTTGATTAAGATCTACTGAGGGTATATTTTTTCTTTTAGGATCGACTAATGTAAAAAAAATATTTTATATTAATAATAAACATACTTATATAAATAATAAAATTAAAGTATTAAGTTATCTAAAATGAATGTTTCATGTTAAATTTTTAAGTAATTTTAAAATGTATTAACATTTTACTGTTGATGTAGAAGTGTGTCATTGCACATCATGACCAAGCGAAGACGCTGTGCTAAAGTCTAAAACTAACCTACTCAGCTGCTTCTATAAATTATAAATTTAATGTGGGAAAATGCCATTTCACACTAACAGGTTAATCCGAAACATATGAATTTAATAAGTGTATCTACTATCTACTAAATTGCAAATATTTAATATATAAGAATAATTAAAAAATTCTAACAATGGGGATCGACTTAGAAATCGTCCAAGATCGACCAGTCGATAACGATCCTGACGACCCCTGTTATATTCTAAAAATGGCACACGCACTGTTCATTTCAGGTGGACGACTTGCAGAAAGAAGTTGTGGTGCTAAAGGACCGAGTGCAAGAGCAGCGGGCTATTAACGAGTCAAGAGCGTCAAAACAAGAGGAAAACATGAACGGACTAAGAACACACTTAAAGCAGCTCGTCGACGACGCGAACCAAGAAGACGATCGAATAAAAACCGTACACACCGAGTTGACCGAGCTCTTGCAATCCGTCGAGAAACTATTTCTATCTGTCCACTGCGACCTTTCTCCGATGTACAAGATACTTGGTAAGACTCGTAATAGGCACGTTTTACAGCCACACGTTTTTTTTTTGGAAGATTTTGATATATTTCGATATATTCTAACCAGGCCTAGTGAACATTTCACCTATATGAGTATATACAGGATCGGACCACTCGGACTGGTTAGGATGGCGGGTGAGCGATCCCCGCTGGGTCTAATGAACATTTGGGCTGCTTGAACAAATTTGGGCCGATAACTTATAAATATTTTATTATTAGCCTAAAATTGGGCCACATTATTTGTTTCCCCGGAACCAATTTTTATTCCCAGTCCGCTCCTTTGAGTATGAGTTATATTAGCTTATGAGGTAGTTAAGTATTTTCTGATCAAGATCAGCATAAAGATCGGGTCAGTACCTACGGCACCAGCCTCACTAAAAAATCAAGAAAATACTCTAGTTAGGTTAGATGAGAATATAAAAAGGCGAGCAAGTGGATGTCGCTCTGCTGTACATAGTGATGGGCAAATACCCGGTAAATATAATTTCAGGTAAATATTTACCTACCCGTTGGGTATTTACCCACGGCACATCACTATAGCTGGACAGTAGCTGGTTACAAGTGGGTCACTGTATAATGGATGGTATTAAATTTGAATTCCATTGATATAGGTAATATCATTGTATAAGAAAAACGATTCTGAGCGGAGACGGTATGTCAGTCTAGGTATAAGACATATTATATACATATCTATGGTATTAAAAAAAAATTACCTATAATAGGTACCTATAATAAATTCCAAATTAATCATACCACAATATACATTGAGTACTTATAAGTTATAAGGCGTTATACATCAACAATAAACCGTGATACTATCATAGATATATAATAGTATAATTTAGAAGTACCCACGAATAATATTGGACAATCACAACAAAATAACTAAAAAAGTTATTCTAGGTTCTTTAATATGTAATTTCGTCCAAATTTGAACTTAAAATGACTATAAAAAGAAACTGTGATTATGTATTTTTTAGTATTTTTGGTAACAGAATTAACTACTAACGTGGAATCTTGTTTTAAATTTTCAATCCTTCGATATAAAAGTTGAACATTTTATAAATTTTTAACTACAAAATAATTATTAAATTTTAAATTTGATAAATTTTGTCAAAATTTGATTTTCAAATGCTTATAAAAAAAAATTGTGCCTATGTATTTTTTATATTTTTCAACTGCTATTGTAACAATATATCAGGAGCCTTGTATTAAATTTTTACTTTAAGTATTTTTACTCAACAAATAAAGTTTTATTGATATTCATAGAAAAAAAAAAACTAATAAAATTGGAAACTGAAAATGTCCCTAAACAGTTCAAAACAAATCAAAATATTTTGAAAATTTTGTCATGTATAGAAAATGGAAATATATACAACCAGTTACAATTTCATGTATCTACGGTCATTTGTTATAAAGTTACACCAAAAACCAAAGTCAATTTTGTGAAAAATAGATTTTGGGTAAAAATTCCTGTTTTTCTTTAATTTTTCTTTTGTTTTTCTGGGTGCTTTTGAAAATTACTGGGAATTTTAAATTTTGACCTGAACAATGCACCAACAACATTCACTTTCCAATCGAACAAGATACTGAACTTGAAAATCGAATCATTATTTCGACTACTTATCATGTACACACACAAAAAAAAAAAAATAATAAAATAAAAAAACACACATCATTACATTCATCGTGTATACAATTATTTCCAAATGTATGACGATTTAAATATAAAAGTATATTATTATACTGTATTAATTGTTAGATAATAGATGTACGATCGACACTCGACGGACTCTGAATATTTATAATAATTCAGACTTTGATGTTTGAAATTTGAATCGAATAAAAATACGTAATATGCCTCCTAATAATAAACAATACACACGTGACACGTCTGCCAAAGGACTTAAATAGGTAAGAAAAAAAAATACTCACTAGTTGTAGAAAACATATCTACGTATATTCCTGGTTCAGTTTCACGAGCATATAGAGTATTAGGTTATACGCGCACTCAAAAAGTTACGCGGCTATTCGGTTATGATACAAACTGACACCATAACGTGTAACTTATTACTGTCGATCTGTTATTTAATACAGTAATACAGTTCACCAGTCACTACAGGTTGTGATTGCCGATTGGACACACATACACATTATGAAGGTCTAATCTCGCAGTTAATTATACATAATAGATATTATACCTTTATGTATACCTTAATATAATATATTTATAAACTGATTATAGTAGATCCGTTCTAATTAGCTACTAAATATTATTATAATACTATACCTGATATAAAATATACGCAGTTTTTGGGTATACCGCTCGTCCGTTCCGCCGTTTACGATTGCCAATTAAGCTGGGTTCACACTACACCGCGTCGTGTAAAATAATCACGGTTACCACAGTTACCGAGCGATGTTTACCAAACAATTTTCATGGTTCGGAACGGTACTAGGTACCCACTGAACTAAATACATGGAACGCGTATTATGTATAATTCTCATGTATGTAAAATCATGTAAAATGAGGACCATACGGGAGCCGCCATATGCATTCTGATTTTATTTTTAACATTCATATTGTGATGATGATAACAATTCTCATTGATAACATAACATTTCACCATGCTTTCCCTTGACTCGGAATGCATATGGCGACTTCCTATGTGGCTCATATTTTGAAAAATGCAAGCGTTCCATGTATTTAGTTCAGTGTAGGTACCATCTTGGTATTCGTAGTATTCACCGTACCGAACCGTAAAAATTATTTGATAAACATCGCTTGGTAGCTGTGATAACCGTGATTATTTTACAAGACACGGTGTAGTGTGAACCCGGCTTTAGCGATTACCAATTTACCATACCGGTATTACCATAACGTCACGGTCATAATAAAAACTGGTATAATACAAGACCGTGCCCATACCCAACACAATATTATAATGTATTTATGTTTCTGTGAATTATATAAAGGTTATATAGGTATACGTAAGATCATGTGACATGTAGGTACACAATTAATGTAAAATGTGTTTGTATATTATATGAATTATGATCTGGGTAATTGATAGGTACGCACGGGCCACAGAGTAACCGCACTATTCGTACAAGTTCATAGAAACCACGTAGGAAGCTATAACCTACGAAAAATATTATTTATTGTAACGGATAGTTATATTCGACTAGATAATTATTTGCACTTTGAGCTGACGAAAATATATTGCACACAAAGCTGTTTTTTTGCATATAGTATTAAGTCATAAAAGTATATTTATTGTGCACACTGTACAAATATATTAATATTATGAATTATGATTATAACTGTTGAATGCGTAAAGTGTAAACCTAGATTCTAGAACTATACACTTATATAGGTAATAACTATATCACATAAATCTATCATGTTATGAGAGAAATAGAGGTATCGATTTTCGATTATTTATAATAATATAGTTTTGATGGAGCTTCAAATATGATGCGAATAGTTTTATTTTATTCTGAATATATTATTTTAAATTACAACTCTTCCACGCTTTTGTAGGCACTCGTTTTATAGTATAATATTGGTAGGTAATGCGTATTAAGTAATGACTACTAATGAGTAATTATTTAATAACCCAAGTGTTTACAATACACGAAAAGTCGAAAACATGATTAAGAAGGAGGATAAGAGTAATGAGTTTATGTTTTAATAATTAGTTTATACCGAATTAATATAGTATGTACAGTACTACAGTGTACATCTATTGCCTATATCATAGCCTATAGGCACCTATATCATAGTCGTATTTGAATGACCTAATGAAACGCGCACCCATTAAACTATTTTGCATACTAGTTGTTGTTATTTACGACCGGCTTATATTGAATGTTTATTGTTTCCCTAATCAGTTTATTATTATATTAACCGTAATTTTAGACGCTCAGATATATTGGATATTACAGCACAGGAAACTCTAAAAAAATATCGAAACTAAATATTTTATTTTTGAAACAAAATTCACAATATTCTGTTGACTGTTGATTACCTATACCATAGAATTTTAAATGTAAATACAATTTTTTTTATGGTTTTGCACATAAGAGTACGTAAGAGTTGATCTATAAGTACCTATATTTTTTTCGGCAGCAATTAAATACAACTAATATTTTGACAACCAGCCACAAAGTATAGGTACACCGTACAGCACACAGCTTATACTATCATTTAAATAAATTAGTGCTTAGAGTTGACGATGTATGTGCAAAGTATGAGTACCTATGTATTATTGTATTAAAGTACTTACTTATAACTAATATTAACATTCCATGAGTATACTGTATTCCGTTTAAAGAGTATTAATGTATTATACTTATTGAAATCACTTCCAATTCCCATAACCTAACACCCCAACCTAAAATATTGTATTATTGTGGTATAGATAATAATATATTAAAGGCATACAAAATAGAATTCCCACGTGATAAACGTGTAATAATTAAATATTGCAATCGGTGTTGTAATAATAGTATATTAGATAATAATGTATAAATTAAAATTAATAATGTGTTATAAATGTATATTTGTATTAGAAGATTTATACTAATCTAAAATTATTTGAAAAGAAATACGAATACTGTATTAAATACTCACGTAAACAATAAACATATACATTATACTAAATATTATGATTTATGATTGGTGATTAATGAGTTTATATTAATTGTGTTATATTTTTCAACAAAAAATCTGAATTTAATTATTTTTATTTTTGAAAGTATAATTTAAATAGCGCATCAGCAAATATGTCTCATCAGTCCCATCTGTCATATACACACGTTGAGTAGGCGATTAGCACTGTATCATAGTACATAGTAAATAGTTTATTGACATTATGTGTTGTTAGCCGTTAGGTAACTAACTAATAATACTTATATAGTTATATTCATACAGGTATAATATACCATTTAAATCAAACTATTTTTCAGAAATGTGAATTTGATTGTTACCTACATTATGAATAAATCTGTTGGTTGAAGATTTTAGATTCTGAGTGGAGCGATGAATGTATTGATTTTACAATGATGTGGGTTTTTTTTTGTGTCAATGAACACGATAAATAGTCGAAATACTGCTTCAATTTTCAACTTTAGTATCTTGTTCCATTGGAAAGTGAATATAGAGATACTTGAAATTTTCACTGGTTGTTTATATTTGCATTTTCTGTACACGATAACATTTTCAAAATATTTTGATTTATTTTTAACTGTTTAGGGACATTTTCATTTTTCATTTTTTTTTAGTTTTTTTTCTAAAAATATCAATACAATGTTATTTGTTGGTTTAAAAAGCTTGAAAATTTAATAGAAGGGTCCCAGTATATTGTTTCAAAGGCAGATGACAACATTTATCAAATTTAAAATTGAATAATTATTTTGTAGTTAAAAATGTATAAAATGTTCAACTTTAATATCAAAGGATTGAAAATTTAAAACAAGATACCACGTAAGTAGTTAATTCTATCACCAAAAAATCTATTAAATACATAAGCACAGTTTATTTTTATAGTGGTTTTAAGTTTTAAACCCTAGAATAACTATTTTAGTTATTTTGTTGTGAATGTCTAATATTATTCGTGGGTACTTGAAACTTCTAAAGTACACTATTATATATATATGATAGTATCACGGCTTGTTGTTGATGTATAACGTGTTATTAGTACCTAATGGATATTGTGGTATGATTAATTTGGAATTTATTATATGTACCTATTATTATAGGTCAATTTTTTTTAATACCATAGATAAGTATATAATATGACTTATACCTAGACTGACATATCGTCTCCGCTCAGAATCGTTTTTCTTATACAATGATATTACCTATATCAATGGAATTCAAATTGAGTACCATCCATTATACAGTGACCCACATGTAACCTACTGTACAGCAGAGCCACTTTTTTTTTTTAAAACAAAAATAATGTCAACTATTTATTTTTTATTATTTTACATGTGCACCAAATATATTTCAGGAGACGATATTCGGGCGAACGTGTATAACATGACTTTTTACGTTGATCTGATTGAAACAAAGGTGTCAGACGTCGTCAAAAGTTTGAAACATATGGAGCCGATGTAACATAATATATTTTTATAAGACATAAGTTATAACTTATAAGTTATTATAACCAAATGTTCGAATTATCACATTCGAGGTAAGCATTAATAAATACTGTAGAGTGTAGAGTGTAGGTGTTTAAATTATTTAATAGTTATAAATTATAATTTATTAATTAACAACGATAAAATGAATAGACAGTTAAATTGTATTATTATTTAAATTACGAATTAATTAGTGACCTGTTTGAATTACCATATGATTATTTTCAAATTTTCAATTATTAAAACGCATTTAAAATATTATGCCTAACATTTCTTTTTGTGATTTTGTACAATGTATTTTATCGTTCTATTAAAATTATACATTTTTATAATCATTAAGAGGACGGTGATACCCGCATGTGTTGTCTCCGTCTTACAAGTGTATAATATAACAAATTTTACGCTCAGCAAAACACGTGTAGCTCCGTCAATTTGAAAATTAGAGTAAATTGACCTCTTATAAAATCTAAAGGTAAGATTATTATCAAGACAACCTCATGGGATTTTTATTATATTTTAATTTTAAAGCGAGCTATAAGTATTTTAAAATTGTAAATTGTTTGTACATCTTAAAATACTCATAACTCGCTAAAAAATTAAAATATAATAAAAATCCCATGAGGTTGTCTATATAATAATCTTACCTTTAGATTTGATAAGAGGTCAATTCACTCTAATTATTAAACCAACGGAGCTACACGTGTCCTGCTGAGCGTAGAATTTGGTATGCTACGCACTTGTAAGACGGAGACAACACATGCGGGTATCTCGTCCTTTTAATAAGTACCTATAATCTACATTCTACAATACCTATTATCTATAGTATATAGATATCATGCAAACGATAGTACATAATATTATAGTTAACATTAAATCTCTATAAAATATACATATACCTAGTTAGGATTTTAAAATATATTTTACTCAAATATAGTACTGTGTGCCTTTTTTCCTATAATATTGAGTATTGTATTATTGTATCATCTGTAACAAAAAATTTAAATTTAAAAATGTTTTTCATGTTAGGTACATAAGTACATTGTATGTAAATTTAATTATACCTATAATATAATATAAACTACATTTTTTGTACTGATTATATAAGTGATAATAAAGGTTAAAGAGTAATTATTCTTCTTCCTGCGTCTAATAATATGATATTATATGTCCTATTCTATGTATTGGCTTTATAAAGCAAATAAACAATTTACATTATAATGTAAATTGTTAAGGTATAATTTATTATTTTAATATGTTTTTTGTTTCGATATATCTACCTATGGGGCTAGATGTAATATTTTTCTTTCATAAGGAGAGCACAATTTAACGACTGTCGTTTTTAATATAAAATATTTTTATAAGATATAATTAAAATTAGATAATTTACATAATACATAATGCAATATAAAACAGGGCCTTGCACCCAAAATCCGAATTAACACCTCTAAACACCCTTATAAAAGCAAACACTCGAAACTCATACAACCCGAATGATTCTGTTTTCAAAACACCCGTATTAACCAAAACCCGAATAATTTTGTTTTTTTCAAACTCTTCATATGATATTATATCATTTTGTATGTATTTCTTGAGGTGAGTTCGATGCTGTAGTTAGTTGTTTAATAATAATAATAAATTGACAGGAACAATCTTACAATCGATCACAGGTAAATTAAATAATTATTTTTTTGAAAATAAAATCCAATGAAATCTTATTATAACAAATATATTATATAATTTATTGGGGGACGGAGTGGCCGAGCAGACTAAGGCGTCGGTTGAGACGCGCATCCCAGCAATTGGTGGCATTTTATTCGGGCAGTCACGGTGTCCGGAGAGAGATGCTGCCATTCCTCCCTCCATCCGGGCATGACAGATATACCTACGGGTACCCACTTACAAAATGCTACCAAAACAAACACACAAGTGTTAAAAACTTACAGTTCCACAGGCTAATGAGTAACGACCTCAGTTGTATAAACCTCAATTCAATTTAAAAAAAAATGAATATATATATTATTTATTACTTTATTAGTATATAAAATAAATCCAAATATAGTCAATAGTTATTTTCATTATACATAACATAATAAGTCATTGCATAAATCATTTTTTTTTTGGGAGGGGGGTCATCAAAAGCTATATTTTTTCCAGACTACTCAACACCCGTATTAACCAATATTAATCCAAATAATAGCGGTTTTGAAAACCCGAACGTTTGTTTCAACTTTTTATTCCGGTGTTTGAACACCCGAATACATCCAGCACCCGAAACCCAAAACCCGAACAAATGATTCGGGTGCTAAGTCCTGAATTATAAAACAAGTGGGTACCGCATTAACGCTCTGCTGAACAATAGGTGTCTAGACTCAAGAAAGTCACTGTAATAAATGTGTTAAATTTTAATTCAATGGTATAACATTTTTACCCAATGGATAATATTTTATCGATATTTATAGAAAAAAAACTGAAAAATTTAAAATTTAAAATGTCTATAAATAACTCATAACGAGTCCAAGTATTTTGAAATTATCATCTATGTAAAATGACCCATTTGACCCCCTTAAGTACTAGATTCACTTTCCTACAAGAAAAGATGCTGTTGAAGAAGGTGATAACAGTTACAAATAAAAATTTAAAAGAAACAACACACACATCTAACATCTGACATCATTGTAATATCAATACATTCATCGCTCCACTCAGAATCTAAAAAGTAAACCATAGCAAGCTACTTGATATTTTTCTTCTACAATGAAAACCTATGATACTTAAATATATTTTTGTTAATAAGTAATAACCATGACAACGAAAACCTCATAAAAAATCGGTCAGAAACAAAAAACCATATTTATGTAAGAAATGTTCAAGAAATCCCGCGTTATAGAAAATTTGACAATCTATACTACCTATATATTAAAAGTTATATTTATATAATAACCAAACTTGGTCATTTTAATTTTCAAATAAATCATACAATATGTACGCCGTAAGTTTCTAAACCAATGTTATATTGTATTCACAGCTGACAACTCTCTTGCAGCCTAATAAAAATAGGGGTAGATACTAGATAGGTACAACGTTATTTACGCAATAATTATTATACCCACAACGTTTTAAATACATTTGTGCACATTTGCACATGCACATGCACTTCAAATGAAAATATTTTTATACTCATCATGAGCACAAGAAAAATATAAGAATCATGTTCATAATCGACAATATACTATACTATAGTAATACCTAACATTCTAACAATATGTTTTGGCTGAACGGCTGAACCACAAGTCACAACTAACGGTGTTACATAATAATAGTTATATACGAATTTACGAAAATTGCAGTGTTCTAACGTTATTCTCTATAGTGCATTAGTGCCTATATAGCTATAGGTATCCAGGTATAATTACTCTGCAGTAATTATTGAAAAAAAATGTGAAATCGAAGGACTATATTATAATAATAAAGATTTTTTTTAAATTAACAATGATGATAGAACTGCTAAATTGATGATTTACATTTATTTATTGATTATTCACATAAACATCATACATAATATTATATATTATATTGGATTTTAATTAAGGGTTTCTATATTCATTGTGTGATTTAACTAAATTTAATTGTATAATTATGTATTTATACATTTCTTGGTTTATATTAGGTACCTATTGGCAATGTGAAAAAAATGTCTATATATTTTATGGTTTTTTATTTAAAAATATATTATAAAAATGTGTTTGTAGACTTGTAGTAATGACAAATGGTGGTACATATTATAACTATGGTCTGCACTTAAAAAGTTTAAAATCATTGAAATTGTTTTTGTATGCTCGTAATATATATAATAATAATATGAAGCATTCTGTAAAGTAGCTGTTGTATACCTACCCCTTAATGTCAGCAAATAATTTCTAATATGTTTTAGGTCAATTCAAGATAATCTTTCAATCTTTGGACCACAGTTGTTTGAGCTTAAGTAGATCGTTGTTTATATATTGTTGGCTAAACGTTACTAATAGCTAACCAGCTGTATTAAGCCATATTGTAGAGTATGTTAATTAATCAATAATATTAATCATTTGCAGTATAATATTTATACAGTACCATCAGCATGAAAAGCACAATTTATTTTCAATTTCTCAGAATCTCCCTTTTGTTGGTTTTTTCTTTGATTTTCTCAGCCATGTTCAATACTTTAGCCAACTGTTGGTATTCCTCGGCAATGAACGCCAATTGAGTTTCTATGTCCGGTATTTTGTTAGGCACAGATTTTTTTACGCGTCGACACATTTGCTTATAGATATTCCACACAGATGCGGCCACCTGTAACATATGTCTAAAATATTATAGACACTCAGCACTCACGACGATAACAATAAAATTTGTAGCGATATAATGTATATGCCATATTTTAAAACACTTTTAAATATTCATATTTACCAAGTCACCCTCAATTTTCTTTTCTTTAGCCACATTTTCAATCTTGCGATAAGCCAGGTCGGTCTTGATCATCTCGTCTTTCAGTTTTCCCAACGATTCGACAACATCGGCCATTTCGACAGACACGTGCTCAGCTTCTTCGCTCGTTTCCTACATAATATTGAAGGAAACGACAATACTTATATTTATTATCAATTGTATCGATATAATAATAATGCATACCCACCGGTGTGAGTATATTATGATGGTAATAAATTACACGCATGTATACATTTTATAATAATATATTCATATAGTACAGCCAGTACAGGTACCTACTAACTAATAACTATACTGTCTATACTATTGATTATACCTTTGAACGTCTGAACACGTCCGTCGTCAATCGTTTCAAATCCGCAGTCTTCTTTTCGTGTTTTTGAGCCAATTCCTTCCGTATGTTGGTCAAGTTTTCGTATCTCTTTATAACGTCATCTATGTTTCTAAACTCTTTCGACTCCTCCACTACTTTTTCGAGAAAATCCTAGAAAACAAAAAAAAATAAATTTAAGTACAGGTAGGAACCTAAAATAAAGTTCTATATAGCTCTGCAGATGATATTATGATGGCTCACTCAAGAACAAAGAGTATTTAAACATTTAAACTCGATTTTTGTACACCCGCAAACCAATAACGAAAAACGAAAAATTATAAAGTCACGAAATATAATTAATTATACTTATTTTATTTACTTCGAACGGCTTTAACTCATCCACGCTACGTTGCATCCCATCGGCGGCCTCTTCGAGCTTTAATATTGATTGTTGCATCGGTACGGTTTGCTGTTCGTAGCGTTTCGTTTCTTCGTTGTCTTCGTTTGTCTTCCTCGTAAGTATTTCGCATTTCAATTCGTTTTCCTATAGGTATAGGAATGAATAACTTTACAACGGTACCTAGTCAGTACCTATACGACTTTTCAATAATTTTGAGCATGTCTGTGTGTGTGTTTTTTACTTATTATTCATTAGTTATTAATTTATTATACCAATTAAATTATTTTTCATTAAATATTATACATACTTATTAACTTATTATTCATTAGTTATTACTTATTAATTATTGTATTTATTAGCTAGAACGCTATATAGGTACACACGAAAATATATAACATTACAATTTACAATTTACATATACAATTTTATATTATAGACACCATTTAGTTTAATCATACCAAAGAAAACTGTTCGTGTCTCAACTCTTCTTCTCGCAGTTCTTTAAGTTTCTGCTCTAGATCTTTCCACTTTTCCTTCATCTCCCGGTCAAACGCTTTTTTTTCTTTGCGCTTGATTTCCAGGCGGGTTTTTGCGGCATCTCGCTCGCGAATAGCTATTATTAATTCGTTGTCAAGCGTTTTTGGTAGCGTATCCCATTCTGGAAATTTCCTATAATAGTTCAACACACCATAATATTATTATACAGTCATTATTTCATTATTAATTTTAAAGTAAAAATAAAAATAATTAATGAAGTACATTTAATTACTCGTAACAACTAATAATAAAACATAATCATACGTGCATAATCACTGCACATTACACCGCATGCTTATAGCTGAAAACGACTTTAATCTAACTCCTCTGGTCACATTTAAATATTTAAATACAATATTAATTAGAAATAGTTTTAATCTATTTCAACTTATTGCATGTTCACTATACTCTATTTAATATTATTTTGTACATTTCACTAATGTACACACTAATTTATTATTCCTGTTATACACTCACACTGGCTATTTGGCGTTAAAAACAAAATAAAAATATTCACTAGAAAAGAAATTATATATAATATATATATTATATATATTTATAACATCTCGAATCATCATTATCATTATACAAGTTAAGCAGAGGGTCTGTCCGACGTGTTTTCAGTACAAGATCATGACGTCTCACAGGAAAAACTCTCATGCCTCATGCAATAGGCACAGATTCCGATTTTCCTATGAAAGACGAAGACTTTATATACCTATATAGGTTTCATTATAATATCACAATCTTAACTAGTTAACTCTATTCTCAATAGTTGTAATAAACGTGTATGAGTGATAACTTTTATGGACTAACTTGATAAAATTGTTCGACTCAGCTTTAACTTGCATGTACGTGTTCACTGCTTTAACGCAGTCAGCTTCGATGTTTATCATCTTCTTCGGCTTGATTTTAGGATCTTGCATTTTAAATAACCGTTTATTATTAACACAACTTAAAAATATCAGTACATTTATTTGATCAATTTTTAATCTAAATTTAATTACAGTTCTCGGGAGTCTATTGAATATTGATGTAGTTACTATATTCTACTTCACTATCACTGAACCACGGTTTATTTTCAGAGCATTTCATTTTCAGGCTAGTAAAAATGGTCTCCTAGCAACTCTTTATTATATAATCGATGGTATAAATAATAATACAGTTAAATTTAACTAGTTTTATGAGAAATGCCGTAATGATTATAGGTACCTACAGATTACAAGAATTTACATCAATCTTGACTTGTAAACACGATTATATTTTCATATTTTTACCTACACAATAATTTATAGTTAATAATATTAATAATCATTAGGTATGTAAAGGTATATTATTGAGGTAGTTGACAAACTAAAATATAATACAACGCACATACACAAAAACCAGTATTATAAAAAATACTTTTTAAAAATACTTAAGTAATTTCTCAAATACTCTTAAACTAAAGTATTTAAAATACCACCCAAATACTATAAATAGTAAAGTATTTGAGTAATACTCAAATACTTTTCAGAAGTATTTGAAATAATCTTCAAATACAAAAAAAATTCTTTTTACTTTTAATAATTTTAAATAATTTATTATAATCAAAAATTTGTTTATACTTTATTGCATTGTAAAAACACGATTCGTCCAATAATAAAAATTCTGATTAGTCGTGTCAGTTGCACCACAACAATGCACTTTTCTCTATAGAGTTATTATATATTAATTTAAAGCTATATTATAAATTTGGATATCTCATACCATCATCGATCGTTGTCGATGATAAACGATACCCAATGATAATTATTGATAACAATTTTCTTGGTAAATAGGTAGTAGCCACTGACTCAGTAGCCAGTAGGTACTAATAATTATTAACAATATTTTCGTATAGTTAAATAATTAAAAAAAATAAAGTATAATAGCCGTTAAGTTACATTTGTTTTCTCTATCTTACAAGTGCATAACATAGCAAATTTTACTCTCAGCAGAACACAATTATCTCCCATTAGTTTAAAAATTAGAGAGAACTGACCTCTTATAAAATTTAAAGGTAAGATTATTATCTAGACAATTACATAGGCTTTTTATTATTATTTAGTTTTAAAGCGAGTTATGTGTATTTTAAAATTGTAAACTGTTTGTACATATTTAAATACTCATAACTCGTTTTAAAATTAAAATATAAAAAAAAAAAGTATGTCATTGTCTAGATAATAATCTTACCTTTACATATTATAAGAGGTAAATTCGCTCTAATTTTTAAACCAACGGGAGATAAACGTGTTTTGCTGAGCGTAAAATTGACTATGTTACGCATTTGGAAGACGGAGACAACAAATGTCACTGTAACGTCCCCTTAAGTAGAAGCTTTTTACATAGGTATATTATTTGTTATTCACTTAAGCTAATAGTGATAGTAGTGATACCGACTACAGATGTATCTTTTCCATCATTGTCGAAAATAAACTGTCTCCTAGAGAAAAAATCATTTAATCGATGAAAACTGATACCAATTTGTCTGTAAGGCATAAATGATAAATATATAATATTATATTGTTATAATGTTAAATCAAAATCACGACGGGATGCGTATTAGGAAACCCAGGACGCTACAGAGCGTCTTATGTATACCACGTTCTCATTGGCCCATTTCAAATTAATCCGCTTTTTTTTTTATCATTTATCAAATAATTTAATTTAATTTAATAATATAATATTAATTTAAATATTATATTATATTATTTAATTTAAACAAATTCAAATAACTATTTAGTAGGAAAAGGTACCTAACTAATATTAAACAATATTATTATGTTATTATAATTCAATAAATTAATGTAGAATGTGATCTCTACACAGTTATTTTTATTTTTTACTTTAGTAAGTACCTATACCTACCTCAGAGTGAACATTTCTTACTGGACTAAGTGTATTGTACTTGTACACACCTTTTGTGTTAGCTAAAAAGTTAAAAGATTGTCTAGGTTCTTCCTAACATAGAAACAAAATACCAATCTTACTTAAATGATTTATTTTTACTAAAATATAAGATTCTTAATCATGCTCTAACATTAATATATATATATTGTATTTTTAATAAAGACATAACTATTTTTAGAGGAACGAATTGAACTAGTGTTCAATGATTATTTTAATAATATATGGAATGGTATCTACTGAAGCTAACCAAATTACTATCCAATTAAAGAAATAGTTGTAACTTCAGTACTTCACATGAATGGTGCAAAAACAATTTTGGACGTCTAGTTTGGTAGTCTAGTTCATCGATGATTTAAAAACCCTGTTATTATTTTCAATTTTATATTTGTAGGTACATTACTACCTACATCAGCAGTGGTTTATAAATAATATTTTTTTACACATTTATAATTAAACTAATTCAACCTTTTTAAAATGTTATGCAAGTATTAAGTAAACAAAATATATTGAGGTACCGTCAATCGAGGTGACTTGGAACGATTTTGACATATTTCTTGTTATTCTGAGCTTAAAAAAAATCGCACTGGACTACAAAAAATACATAAATGTTTGCATACGTCTCATGAATAGGATAAGACCTTTTATTTAGTTTTTTGACCAAAACTGAACTTAAAAAAAAGTAAAAAGTACGTGTTCCAAGTCACCTCAATTTTTGGGTGACTTGGAACAGCTATGAAAATTTAAAGTGAAATTCAATTCAAGAACGTTAGAGGTGACTTGGAACAAAATTTTTATTTTAAAAATTAACACAAGAACATGTTAAATAAATATTAAAAAGAAACAGGTTAACTTTACCTTTTTTTAACAGTAAACTAAATATTTAAATAATAAAATATCAATAACATGATAAAAACAAAATAAAAATTCTTTCTAAATAGAAAAACATAACTAAATAGTTCTTCAAAATAAACACAAATACATTTTAAATATCATCGAGGGCCTGTTAAAGTGTTTCGTCACTGTCATTTATATATGTCCGGCTACCCGGTATACGCTCGTATTTGTTTGGCATTTTTGGTGTTCCAAGTCACCCTCAATTTTCTTCTGTAAAATAAAACTTAAGTTATAAAATTAGAAAAAAATGTTAAAAGACTTTTAACTACAAAAGTCTGCTTTTGAAGTGTCCTTTAATGTATAAAAAATATACAAATCTTTAAATTTGACTTCAATCACCAACATTTGAAGCACTTTTGAGAGCAATATTAAAATCGTTGTTATCATAAGAAATGTTTGGTTATTTTTTTCGGTGGTAATGATAAGACCAACCACATGGTTGATGATAACATTTATTATCACAAATATTGTAAATTTAATTTAAATGCAGGCAGATTTAAATTATATCATTTTGTTTCATAGATAACATGATATGTTTAAAAAAAAACCGGGGTGTTTCATTTCACCTCAAAGTTCCAAGTCACCTCGATTGACGGTAGGTAAAAAATAATACATACATGTCTACCTACATAGTCAGAGGTAGGTAGGGGTTACACGATCATTGAAAATATATAAATATTAGACAAAAAAAAAAAATGTACAAACAAAATTCAAAAATTTGACCTACCCGATAATACTTTATACGTGTTACTAGTTCCTAATGTTCCTATATAGATTATAATGACAATTATTTTAAAATATACCACTCAATTTTATTTGCATGAACTTTTAGTAAGGTTTTTTACCAAATGTTTATAATTTGGAATGATTTTCAAATGATTTTGAGTCTGTTGTGAGTTATTTAAAAATATTTGAAATGTTCGATTTTTTTTTTATGTTGATAACATTTTTGGTTGTGAGTATAAATGTTGAAAATGTATTTCAAAGTTTCTTTAAGATCTTACCACAATATCAAATAATAAAATATATTCCAATCATAAACTTCTAAAAAGGGGTCTGGTAGAAAATCGAATCCAGCCCTTACTTTGAGGTGTCAATACTTGATATTTATCAGTACTTTTTATAATCAAAAACAAATTTACCGATATGTGTTAAAATAATGTTATTTTAATATGCTGATAGTCTCCGCTCAAGGCTCTTTTTTTTATTCAATTATTTGTCGTTCAACTAAAAAAAAGTTACTATAGATACTTAATAATGGGTTTTGTATATGCCCCTATGGTAATTTTAAAACATTAGTACATAATTGATATAAGTCTATAAATATTTATAATTTATAAGTTTTAAGTATTAAATATAATAAACACAAAAATCCAATATTATAGCTATTATAACATTTTATTTAATATCTGCTATATTTAAGGACTTATTATCCTTAATATAAACATAAACTGGAAAGTTATTCATTCGAATTACGAATTAAATAAATATTAATTTTTAATAAACCATCCAATAAATTAATTTAATTTAATCCTCTAGGTGATTATTTGAAAACCAGAAGTGTACATCGCAACGAGACACTGAAAAAATCTAATAGATGTACGGTTTTAATAAGGATTCCAAAATACTGAGTTAAATGACATTCATTGTTAAATGAAAAAATTAAGTTGAGCCTGCTTGGTGAATTACTCTGTACCTACTAAGTACTTAAGCAGATTTTTATAAATTTATTAAATTTATGCCGAACGAAATATAAATACTTATATTTAAATGTATATAAATGTAGAATGACTAATGTACGCATATACCTAAAAAGCCGTACTCACCAACTAAGGAAATATCTTCGTCAAGCGATTTATGCCCGACCGATTCAAATGCGGTGCAAATCATTTCCATCTGACAGGTTATAATAGCTAAGCAAAGTGTCACCAGAAGAATATCAAATACGCAGAATACCATTGATAGGAAAACTAAGTACGAACCTTCGACCAAGTAAAACGTATAGTAATGTGCATTGTACGTTTCGTCGGATGCAAATAAATACAAATTGAATAAGTTCTGGCGATAACTGCTGACCGAACCGTCGCGATTTTTGACCCGT